GCAGCTGGGCAGCGGAGCGCATTCAGGGACACCGCACCTCCGACCACCTGGCACTCCGTGCCTGTCCTGTCCCCTTCACAGAAAGCAAGCTCTGCCTGGGCCCCAAGACAGGGGTCTCATCCTAGATCAAACCTGGGCAGGTGTCGCCCCTTCCTGAGGCCCGCTCCGTTTCCTTGACCCCGTGCGGGACTGTGGCAGACCACAGTCTTAAACCCTGTTTCTCAGTTGCACTGAGTGGCTGGCACACAGATGGAGGCAAGGGGTCTATCTTTATCACAGCGGAGCATCGCTGAGCTGGGTCTCTGCCCACCGTCCCCACTGACAAGCACGTGGCCATCTGCTGCCTGCAGTTCACTGCTCCGCACACTTCCCTGCCTGCCTCCCTGGTAGAAGCCGGTGAGGTGAGGGGAAGAGTTGAACAGCAGCCCCGTATCGGTGAGCAAGGTCCAGCTTCCACTTCCAGCAGCTTTTCCGTGTGCTGCCCTGGCTCTCGGGCAACCCTGCCCACAAGCACGCTTCCAGCCAGTGGGGGGGGCGTTTAATGCATGACGGTCCAGACTGTGTTAAAAATGAATGTATGAAAGGAAGGAGCTGACTGTATTGCATTTTAAAAGGCAGACTTTTTAAAGAAAAAGTGGGAGAAACTACAGTAACTCTCTCCACTTAGGAGGACATGCTTTTCTGGCCATAAAGGATGGTGGTTGATTGTTTTCTTACGTATATCTCGTTTAGAATGTTGCCATCTTCGTGTAGGGACTTCCTTTCCACCCCTACTCCCATAAAATAGATTTTATTTTTATGGATTTAATAAACCTTGGTGAATATTACCCAGAAACATGTTTCCGGCATTGAGGAGATCGTCTTATCTTTAAGAATTGAACCTAAAATTGGGGGGAGATCTGAATCTTTAGGGACAAGGTACTAGTTTGCAGGTGGTGGTGCAGTGAGCGCGGAGTGCTGGTTCTGTGGTGTAAATGCACAGTAAGAAAAGTCCTGGTCCGACGGCGCTGACTGGTAGGAGCGTCACTCTCGGTACTTACTTTCAGTGTGAGATGAAAACTGGTTCTTGGTATGGAAGAAGGTAAGACTAGAACGTGAAGACCATGACAAAGTTTCAAGCTAGTTCTTTGTCATTACTGCTTTAGTAGTTCTGTTAGTGTTCTTGCTGTAACAGTAAGTCTAACCTGTAGCAATTTTACGTAAAAACGAAAATTACCTGAGTCGAGCAATCCCAGGGTTAACTACCCAGCGTACCTACCCATAATGTTTGTTTCCGCTGATGGTTTTCAGGTGAATGTGTACTGAATTGGCTGATTCGCTTCTGCAGGGGGAACACACCTGAAACTAGAGGGACGGCGTATGTAGTCTATGAAGACATCTTTGACGCCAAGAATGCGTGTGATCACCTGTCGGGATTCAATGTTTGTAACAGATACCTCGTGGTTCTGTACTATAATGCCAATAGGGTAAGTGTAGCCGCGGTTCTTGTCGGGGGTGGGCGGGGAGCCCATGGAAGAAGCAGTGCCGAGCTGCACCGTGCGGGGAGATGGGTGCTGTTGGTGCAGTTCGTTCCGCTGAAGATTGGCGACTCTTAACTTTGGTGCTTGCCACATTTTCAGGCATTCCAGAAGATGGACACAAAGAAGAAGGAAGAACAGTTGAAGCTTCTCAAGGAGAAATATGGCATCAACACAGATCCACCAAAGTAAAAGCTTTCTGCATTTTCATTTTGGACTGAAACCCCGTGAATCACCACCACTACCCTTTTTTGGTTTTTAATTGATACAGATCTTGTAATTTTTTATTTAAGGTTCCAAATGACCTGCCTGAAACTTTGATACATGTTAGAAGATATTGTTAGTAAACATGTAGCTTTTTGTAAAACATGCCAGTGTTTTCTGTTCAACTTTCTCCTGTGTGATCCTAGGGGGAGAAAAACAACAGTTGAACCATATCAAGAATTATTTGGTGGGAGGTGGTCCTGGAGGCTGGGCCATCTGGGAGCGTGCCCGAGTGCTGTCGTTGGTCGGCTGTTAGTGACGAAGTCTTCCTAACGACCCACTGTGGGAAGACAGCTCCACCTTGCAGAGACAGGGCTGAAGCTCACGTGGGTTCAGTAAATAAAATGCTTATGTGAAAAGTTGTGGCCCTGGCTGGCGTAGCTCAGTGGATTGAGCGCAGGCTGCGAACCACAGTGTCGCAGGTTCAATTCCCAGTCAGGGCACATGCCTGGGTTGCAGGCCATGACCCCCAGACACCACACATTGTTGTTTCTTTCTCTATCTCTCCCCCTTCCCTCTCTAAAAATAAATAATAAAATCTTTAAAAAGAAAAGTTGCTGTGGCATCAACCAGTCACTGACCGTGCCAGTGCATTTGAGTAGTGCTTGCTTCACAGTTAACAAAACCCCTTGTCACTGTGGGCGCCCTTGTGCTTAGAACAGAGGTCTGTTCTGGAAATGGCCATTCACGTGACAGGCAGCACATGGTTAGCAATTCGAGAGCAAGCAGCTTGGGGAGTGTTGGTGGTTTTTTCTTGTCTAAGATTGTATTAATGTAGTCTTTCCATTTAATAAGTGTCGTGTATGTTTTGGACCTTTATTCATAGTATATCTTTGCTATAAAAAATTACATGGTGCTTATTCTTAAAATCATGTGCTCCATGGCATGGGAATAACACAGTTATTACCACATTTATCAGAGCTTGGCAGCTCGGAGGGGTAGCTATAATTTTCCTTTCGTAGTTGAGGCATGGGCCAAATAGAAAATCGGAGACTAATTTTATTTCTATATACATATATGAAACTATAACCCAGAACTTGAAGGGTATGAGGACTGAATCATTTAAATGGACAAAGAACTTCTATTCTACTTTTAAATACAGTTAGCTTTGAAATCTGTCATTACTTTAAGAAAATAGGCTATTTTATACTTTTGTACTGTCTTCCCAAAGCCTTCTATTGAAAATGAAATAATTGTCTTATTTATTGTGTCTGAGTGCTTTTTGAAAGCACTGTGGAAGATTCATTTCTGAGAAGGGCAGGCAGACGACAAAGGAGCCACAGCTGTAATTTTCTCATGAATGCTTTTGTGAATTCTATATTAATTTTTGTAATGCATGATGTGCTTTAGGTATTTATACAAGTAAAAAGAAATTTTCTAAAAGACTTTTTTGTAAGGGGAAAACAAATGACACTCACTTACAGTGTGACACGTCTAAAGAGTTTTTAAAAATTCCCTGTAGTTGTCTGGCGGTTCTGTTGCCTGTCCCAGTTAAGGTAAAAGAAGTTTAGTTTAATGGACGAAGATGGAGAACCTACTCGGGCCAGGTCTGTGTGTGCCGAGATGCTGAGGCTGTAGCTACAACCGGCCGCCTGCACCGGACATGTGAGGCTTAGTTTTCCAAACTGCTTTTAGGGTTCAGGGGAAGATTGTGCACATGTATGTGTGCATATGTGTGCCAGAGCACCTTTACATGCTTCCAGGTTAGGTTTTGAGTTTCTGAGATTTTCTGTGACTGGAGAATGTAATGACCGGAAGTTTGAAAATGGCCAATATGACAGCTCATCACTGTCCTGCTTAACAGCTTTCAGTGCCTGTCACAGGACAGTCCAAACTCGCTAGCACCCTGCACCGTAATTCTCTGCGTCATCTTTTAAGAAAGGTGCCAATAAAGCAGAGCTGCATGGCCGAACGTGTCCTCTCCAGGCGCTAGCCTGTAGGTATTTGCATTTTTTTTATTTGTTTGTGCTGGTTCTTAGTGGGTGTCTCCTTTTACCAGGTAGGCTGTACATCCTCTAGGCTGAGAGCTCCTGTATGGCTCCATAGTGGTCACCTGCAGCGGCCCTTGGTGCCATTTTTAGTTGTCTTATTGGTGTCACAGCAGAACACACGAGAAGACAGGCTGGGTTCTAAGAAATTATCACAGACATTTGTGTCGTGGAAGAAAGTGGGGAGCTAAGGCATTCTGAGGGGAAAAGCCTGGAAAGGAGTGAGTGCAGTGCCCTGCGGCGGGTCTAGGTCCACGGTGGCAGTGAGCCCGAGGACTGGGTGACCAAAGCCAGGCAGCCCTTCCTCATTTCAGCCTCTCCGTCCTGGAGCGCTGCCCCTTCTAACTCCTCCGGCCTCGGCAGAGGCGTGCATCCAGGACTTCCTGGAGACAAAGGGGGCAGATGAAGTAGCCACGGTGATGTGGCCCCATGTCATACATGACATCATGAGTCTGGGAAGGAAACCGCACCTGTTCCCAGCCCCTCCTCAGTCTTAACACAAGAGTCACCACTGACAGAAGAAGCCGCACTGTGCGTGGAAGCTGTGCCGACCGAGGAGCCTCAGCCACACTGCCCCAGGCTCCTTGGACGAGCGCGCCAGTAAGTGGGCTGATTTTAAAGCCTAACCGGGGATTTCCATGAGTTGCAGTAAATGATTAAATTAAGCATTATAAGTGGAAACAATACAAATCGTACATTATTCTCTGAAGTAATTCCCCAATGTAAGTTAGAGCGAATCTCGATGCAACTAAGCAGTTAATGTGAAGACAAGCTCAGAATCATAGCCTTTTTGAAAGTAACTTCCCAGTGTGCATTATGCATTAGCCTTCATTTGTTACAGACATACCAAGCTCCTTCCTTCCCGTTGGGGTGAGGGCAGCTAACCCTTCTAAGTCCAAACAGCTACAGGTCACGAGACCACAGTGCGCTCAAACCCCATGAGCTGTGGGCTTCGAACACGGTCTCTTCCATCCGTTATTTGGAGAAGACTTGAGCCTGTGCAATGAGTGGCAAATAACGCCCTCTTCACAGGGCTGCTTAGACGGTTGGTGGTAATTTTATTTTAAAAACAGAACAAGGCCCAGCGTGCATAGCACTCGCATTGGAATTACGGTATTTATTATCACTCCCCTGGCTACTCGGAAGGCTCCTGTCCCCTCCTCTTTCCCAAACGTGACTGGCTTACGTGGTCCTTAAAGCACTCCCTACCTACAGCAAGGATGGACAGGAACTCATCAAGCACAGAGCCTTTATTTTACGTGTCATTTCCAAAGAGGACATTTCGTAAGTCAGCAGCCAACGGTTTCCGAGAGAGGAAGTGGCCGCAAAGGTAACTGGCCCGAGTCCCCGTGCACACACACCTCGTGCGTACGTCTCGTGTCTGAGCACCTCGTGTGTCTGGCTTCAGTGAAGGTAAGGCAGTGTCGATTGTGCGAACAAGAAATCTGTGTTCGGCGATCAGGAATGGCTACTACATGCACACGCAAGATGCACAACCCGAAATGTTTCGATCGCAACCAAAATTTCCTCAAGCAAAGATGCACGTGAACAGTGACCAACACACAGAGAGCGAGCTGGGCAGAGAGAATGGATTGTGTCGTGGGGCGGTGAGGGGAGCACGCACTGATCAAGAGCCCCGAGCGGGCGGAGCCGTCCCAGTGGCAGAGCGGGCTAGGAGGGGAGCAACCGCCATCTGCAGCCGCCGCCAGTTCCTTCCTGCCTTCACTCTAGGTTGAGCAGCTCCACATCAAAGATGAGGGTGGCATTGGGAGGGATGACGCCAGGGTGGCCAGTGGCTCCGTACGCCACATCAGGGGTGCAGGTCAGCTTCGCCCTCTGCCCCAAGCTCATCTAGCAGGGATGGGGGCAGATGGGGAGAGGAGAAAGAGGACCCAGCTTGATTTAAAAGAAAAAGGTAAGGTAACTATGGCATTTCCTTAAACCATCCCCATGGCAACCCTGCCAACCCGAGATGCATTGTATACCCGGCACACCAAAGCTGTGCTAAGAGCTGTGACGGGTGCGGATTCTGCCTCAGAACAGCAGAAACCTGACTGTGGGACAGTTCCTCCTTCCACAAAGCAGTCTCAAGTTCGTGCATCCATCCAACAAACGCTGCTGCCTGTTCCATTGTCGTGTGGCCCAAACACTTCTCCTCATTCACATTCGCCCCTCACCCCCTCCCAAGAAACCGAAGGAGGGTGTCTGAAGAGCACATGCATGGGCACACGATCCAGTAGGTGACAGGGCAGCTCATTAGGGGAGCGCCTTGGAGACCAGAGCCACAGCAAGGTGGCGAGGGCTGGAAGGACCACTAGATGGAGTGCCCTGACTTCCTGGACCAAGGGGGCTCGCCATGGCCGTCCTGGAGAACCGGCCTGGCATTCGTGCGACTGGTGGGGGGAGGGGAGGGAACTGGAATAAATGATTTTTCAATTTTGAATATCTGACTCAAAAATGTAAATGGATTGGTTAATAGTATTGTATCTATGTTAATGTCCTGGTGTTTATCATTGTACTATGATTATGTAAAATGTTAACATTTGGGGAAGCTGGGTAAAGAACATATGGGAACTCTACTATTCCTGCAATATTTTTGCAAGTCAAATTATTTTTTTTTTAAAGTTGCAAAGAAACCCCACCTTGGCCTACCCTACCCCAACACTTCTGCTGCCTCAGTCAGGGACGGCTGGTTGCCCACGAGCCTCCCCAGCCAGTGCTGCACAAACCTGGGGAGATGAACTTGGGATGAGAGCCCCTGTGACAAAGGAGTCATGCTGGCAACAAAAGGGGCGGGGACCCAAAGCCAGGCCTGAGACTAGATGGTGTGGCCATGCCCTGGCAGCAGAGTCAAAGCAGCAGTGGTCTGTGACCAGGTTGGGGGCAGGGTGTTGCACCCAGACCCCCAGCTCCTCAGACTCCCCATAACAAGGACTTCATCCTACCTGGGCTGCACCCTCTTCAAAACCCTTGATGACTTCCTGTTTGCCAATTCTGAACTTGAAAGGTTTGTTTCTGTCTCTGGATGAATCGAATTTCTTCCCATTCTGGAGCATTCCTGTGGAAGCAAGAATAAGGTGGGAAAGGGCTGTGGTCGTGGGTCCATCGGCACATCTCAAATGGAGTTCCTATTCCGTACAAACTCCTTTTCCAATCTTCCCCATCTTCGGTCCTGCTGCCCGAGGGGGCGTGGGCTCTTCCCTCTGCCTGACCCCCACGTGCAGCCCGTCCGCAAGGCCTACATATCTTCAGAACCACCGATCTTCTCCCTTTCGGTCCCCACCATCCTGGGGCCTCACCAAGCCACCACCGTGCCTCCAGTGTGAGACAAACCACCTGACTGCTCTCTGCTCCACTCTTACTCCCGTCCTTTCCCCACACTGCTCTGCAAATGACTGTTTTTAAAACCCATATTCGATCACAGTACTCCCTTGCTTCAAACATTTCAATAGCTCCCCATGGAAGACTCCAAAGTTCCGCATGGCATAGAGGTGCTTCAAGATCTGGCTGTTGCCTGCCTGCCTGATAACCCTCTCTCTGCTCTTCCCTTCCTTCCCTTCCCTCCGAGCCCTCTCCCTGCACCCCCTATATCATGTCCTACTCAGGTCACACCTTTCTCAAATACCTCTGGGCTTTACAACTTTGGGGAGCCGCTTCCTTATCCTGAACATGTTTTCCCAGGCATTTCCCCTCAAGTTGAACCCTCACCTAGTTTTTCCAAGGTTCGCCCAACATGCAAAACCCAAAGGTCACAGTGAAGACTATAAGGTGACCCAGCCAATCAGTGGGGCCTCCAGGACCTAACAAATAGGACTTTTTGACCCTGACCACCCCAGATGCTGTCCTCAGCAGTTTGGAGCATCCATTCCCTCCAGCTGCACCTGCCTTGTTATCCCTGGTACACATCTCGGTCCAGCTGCCTAAGGCCCGAGAGCCGCTTTTCTATTCTCACTGGCGACGGACTCAAAGATCAGACCTTCTGCAAGTGATGGTGATACAAGAAACACTTCTTCCTGCAGCCCCTGGACCACAACAAAAGGCAACAGAGGACCAAAGAAAGACCTGTCCTGTACACACAGAGACTGGATTAGGACTTCACCCTGGCACTAACTCGCTGTGTGAAGGTACTGCCTTTCTCCTGGTCTCAGCTTTGCCATGTTTAACATAGGAGGTCCGGCCCAGCTTAGTATCTGAGCATCTAGGATTCCTCTTCCTAATTCCTACAGCTGTACACAAGGGACAGTCTCACTACCTACTTTCTGTGCAGAATAAATTGGGCTCTTGCCTTGGGCACAAAATCAGACAAAGGAGGAAAACACCCATGGCTACATAGACGGACACTAAGGAGATCAAATATGAGTTCATGATGCACAGGTAGCTAAGATGTTCAGATACACAGAGATATGAGATACTCAGCGTGCTCACGTGCATGTATGCACACGCACTCAGAAGAAAACTCCTGATGGCCAAGCAGATGGTAAGAAAATATTTACATACACAGATCTATATATATTCACATGGACACACACTTGGACAAATACATATATGTGAGAGAGGATACACATATTGATCAGTTGCTTCTCGCGTGCACCCTGAGGTGGAACCAAACCCACCACCCAGGCACGTGCCCTGGCTGGAGTTGAGCCGGAGACCTTTCTCTTTGTGAAATGACACCCAGCCAGGCTGGTCAGGAAGAAAGGGTGGTTTTTTAAAAAAATTAATGTTGCTGTATTAACTGTAAATCCATATGGGGGGGAGGATAAACATTGACGCCTACTTCCTCACACAAAAATCAATTCCAGATGAATCAGACTTAAATATGAAAGATAAAATATTAAAGCATCTACAACATAATAAGTAGAAGAATATCTCCATGACCTGGGGGTAGACAGAGATTTCTGAACACAAAAAGGACTAACTATAAAGGAAAAGACTGACACAGAGGACTCCATGAAAATTAAGACGTTCTGTTAAAAATATGACAACAACAAAGTAAAATGACAAGCTATAGCCTGGGAGAGGTCTGAAACAGGTATAACCAACAAAGGGAATATCTAGAATACATACAAATTCCTATAAATCAAAAGACAGCCGATTTTTTTAATGGGCAGAATTTGAGCAGACTAAAGGACATTCAAACGGCCAATAAGCACATGAAAATCTACTCAAATTCATGAGTCTTCAGGACAATGCAATTCAAAACCACAATGAGATACACCCAGAGTGGACTAAAAACAAACGAGAGCTTGATACAACCAAGCATTGATGGGGATGTAGCAGAACTGGAACTCACACACCCCAGGTGGAAGGGGAAATTGGCACAGCTACTTTGGAAAGCTACTTGCAGTGTCCAGTGAAGCTGAACAGGTAGAACCCCATGCCCTAACAATTCCGCTTCCGGGCACAGCCCCTGCCGAAATGGGTACAGACATGCACCAGAAGACACCTACAAGACTCTTCAAATCAAGACGACTCACGATAACCGAAACCATAAACAACCCAAATGGCCATCAACTGTAGAAAGGATGACTTGTAGTATATTCATAGAATGAACTGTATACGAATAAAAAAAGAACAACCACTCTGGATAAATCTCACAGACCTAACACTGAGAGAGATAAGCCAAGCACAGACGAGTACACGCTCTATGATTCTATTTCCGTGAGGTTCAAAACCAGGCAGAAACAATCCATGGGACAGAAGTCAGAATGCCAGTGACCTTCAGGAGGTGTGGTACCTGGGAGGAAGAGGAGGGGACTCCTGGGGGCGCAGGAAATGCATATCTTCTTCTGGGTGGTGGGCACCTAAGTGTGACCACTGTGAAACATTTCATGGAGCTGTTCGTCTTAGATGTGTGTTCTCCACTGTGTTTATAGGTAATAAAAAAGTTTACCCAAAAGTCCCACATAGTCTTCTGCTGCGTCTGGTGAGACAGTCCCTCTGCAAACCAGAGCCGCTCATGACGTTAGCGTTTGATGCGTGTTGCCTGCTCCCTGTATGTATTGTGAAAAGTCTTTTCAGAAGGATGTTGTGGTTTCAGTAACTTGATAAGTACAGATCTGTCTGCAACATGTAGAGCAGATAAATCAATTACACAGGTCAGAGGCCCCAGAAGACTCATGGTAATTAGGCCACATCACCGGGAGATAAAGCACAGCTCCAGCCCACTGACGTCAGCGACCAGCAACCCAGCAGCTGAGAAAAATACCCACACGATCTGCCTAGAATTAACCTGGCACTTCACACTGGTCCAGAGGGCGCTAAAAATGGCCCCGTCTCCATAGGTCCTGGGGATTAAACTGGCCCTGCTGCCTGCTAGGTGGCTGTCAGCAGGTTTGCCACATCGGGAAGCAGGTCACAAGGCAGAGCACTCACCCCCCTTGGAACAAACACCTGCTTGTGATATTCCTGCCAGCAGTCCTCAAGAACTCCACCTAGAATGATCCTCTGCCCACCTGTCCTTCCTTCCAATACAGCTCCTCCAAGAGAGGTCGGCAGAGACTCAGCATCCTCACGGGCTCCCACAGCACCGCCATCGCCTGCCCCTCACACCGCGCCAAAGCCTCTGGATGGCTTGTCTGCCCTCTCCCCCCCTCCATCCCCAAAGAAGTGGGAATTCTCCCTTTTCATCCCTGCACCCCTGGTACCCCACACAGCATCTTGCACCCAGTATGGGTTCCATCACCGTAGGCTGGATTCAACAGCCTATTCCTGAACAAAGAAAGGAAGTTCTGAGGAAGCCACTCTCCTCTTCTCTAACAACACCGTAGGGTGAAAAGGGAGTCTGCCAGCATAGTCAGGCTCTCCGCGCTACAAGAAGGGATTTCCAAATACCAGGCAGAACCCGGACTGCAGGGCTCCACTCCGCCCACGCAGAGGTGAGAGCAATGGAGTGGCTTGGCTCCGCCAGAGGCTGGCACCATGGATGACTCTTGCTGGTGTTAGTGGGGAGGGGCTAACCTTGCAGCCCCTTCCTCATTCCTGCAAGGCTGGCTGGGAGAAGTGGGGGATGGCTGGCCAGAGGCAGATCTGGTTGCTTTGGGCCTGATGCAGGGGAGCTGATGTCTCTGGAGAGGAGTGTCAGGGGACAGACCTACCTTGGGAGGGGCAGGTCTGATGAGGGCTGGGGGGGGCGAAGCCTACCTGTGTAGTGCACCACACACGTCTGGCCCTTCTTGGGGAATGTCCTTCCTGCAAGGAGACATGAGAGCAGAGGAACAAATAAGGTATTAGAAAGTCACCTGGGACAGTCAGGTGTGAGAGGCCCACCTTGCCCTCCACGCTGGGAAGATGTCCGGGGTTCTGGTTCTGACTGAGTGCCTTGTATAAGCCAGATAAGTTCCTTCACCTCTCTGGTTTGACTTTATTTCCTTGGGTTCCTCAACTCCACTCTCTCCTGGTTCTTTTCCTTTCTTTGGTTGCTCCTTTTACTCTCCCTCATCCATTCCCCTATGTGCCAGGCCTGGACCAGATTACAGGGACACAGAGCAACACATAAATAATAGATGCTAACATAGGGTGATGCTGTGATGAGAGATGCATAAACACGGTCATTCACAAATGTTTATTGATCACCTACTGTGTGTGAGGCCTGGGCCTGGTTTGGGGGGTACAGCAGAGACCACACAGGCAAGATGCCGCTCTTTTGGAGTTAACGTTCTAATGGAGTAAGACAAATAACCCCGCAAATGAACAAGGTAATGATCGTTGTGATAAGTTCTCCAAAGATGAATTAAAGAGAGACGCAGTGGGCAGGCTGTGTTAGACAGGGCGGTCCAGGATGGCCTCTCAGAGCTGAGACCTGTGGAGGAGGAGGGGTCAGCGAGTGCACAGACCATGAGGCGGGAAGGGACTGGTGCACGTGCAGCCTAGCACGCAGGCCAGGAGATGGGAAAGAAGGGTGGGAGGAAGAGACAGGCGGGAAGGAGCCGGACCAAGCCAGGCCCCGCAGAGCTGGATTTCATTCTAAGTGCAACAGGAAGCCTCTGGAAGGTTTTAAGAAAGAATGACCTAATCTGAATTAAGATTTTATAAGATCACTCTGGCTGCTGTGTGTAGGGTAGACGGTCGGGCGCCTGTTGCAGTAATCCAGACAGGAAATCAATGATGGCTTGAATTAACTTGGTGGCAGCAGAGGAGAGAGCCAAAGAGATGGGAGATATATTCTGGAAGCGGAGCTCACAGGGCATGCTAATGGCGCGGAGATGGGGTCCAGGAGGAGGGATGGTGGAGTGAATTCCTGAGATGGGGAAGACGGGGGAGGAGAGATCTGTGCGGGTGGCCATCTCGAGATGCCTATTAGACATTGGAGTTTATATTGCAAGTAGGCAGATGGAGAGTCTGCGCTCGAGGTATCGATTTGGGTGGAATTTAAAGCCTCGGGCTGGATAACAATGCCTTGGGCAGGCTAACTGTGAGCCAACGTTTAGAGGACTCTACTCGAACCCACAGAGGGGAGCAACCACTGCAAGTGTCAGGCAATGCATCGGAGAGGAGAGCATGGTTAAACTGCAGTCTTAAGAGATGCGTAGTTTGCCAGGGGCAGTAAAGGGAGATACTTTGGGAATGGTGAAAACCACGGTCAAAGGCCTCGAGTCAAGCGCAGCAGGAGTCCCGCCGTCTGCTTCACTGCTGTAACCCCAGGGCCCAGCACACAGTACATACTCAATAAATATTTGCTGAATGACTGGTGTGTTTAACAACTTTCAGGCAGCTTGCTAAAACTGGGGGAAAAGTTGGTAGTGGGGGTAGGGACTGATAAGGAGAGATGAGACTCTAGTGTGGAAGGTAAGAATAGGTTATCTCACCATCTGTCTGGAGAAGGACCTGGAAGATTCACTAAATTATTTTATGCCTGGGGAGGGACATGGTTAAAAAGGCAGTTTAAAGAGTCCCCAGGCTGTGGTATAAAAAATGAATAGGAATGAGGTGGGAGGCTAGACGGAGGGCAGGGAGGTAGGACCGGAGGTGGGAAGACCAGTTTAGAGACTGTGCAGAAATCCAGGTGAGAGGTGATGGTGGCTGAACCACGGCAGGGGATGGAGCCCAGAGATACTCAGCAGGAGGACCTGACAGGACTTGGTGTGGGGCTTAACCAAGATAGGCATCCCCGAAATACTGACTGGCATATTCCCCTCCTAAGTTCTGGCATTGACTGTCTGGCCCATGTGTGCTTCCTTGAGTCAGGGTATTAAACTGGGCTGGAAGCAGATGGCCAGGGCTCCTCCAGGTTTTCCCTAAAATTCTAATTCTCCTTGGGCCAAAATGCCCCTCATCCCAGGCCAGAGACAGAGGATGAGGAGAGAAAACTCTAAAAGCGTCTTTGAGCCAGGGAAGGGAGACAGCTCTCCAGCCCCCTGGCAGAGCTCTGGGGCAGTGCCCTGGAGGCAGGTGACAAGGCCTCAGGGACGTGCTTCAGGGGAGCAGCACCAGGCTTCTCATGGTGGGCAGAGAAGCTGCAGCCACGGGCAAACCTGGGTAAAGCTGGGGACTTTAGGGACCGCTGGTTTTCAGTAGGGAGATGGCCTAGAACCCCACCCCAGGAGATTGGGCCCTCCAATCTCCTGGGGTGGGGTCGGGGGTCAGTAATGTCTGGCATAAAGTTTGCCTGCCAACTCCTGCGGAAGTGGGGGTGCCAGTCTGAATTAAGGGGTGTGTGTGTGTGTGTGTGTGTGTGTGAGAGAGAGAGAGAGAGAGAGAGAGGGAAGAGAGAAGAAATAGAGACAGCTAGCTACTCCTTGCACGTCCAGGGCCAGCTATGCAAGGGCGACGCCTGGGACGCCTGGCTTGGGAAAGGAGTGGCGCTGGCCCAAGAGGCAGGGAACAAGGAACACAGAGGGGAGCAAGTTCTGTTGTGGACTTGGGGGCTTTGGGGTGTCGGCGCCCAGGCAGGGGTTTAGCCGCAGCTGGATAAATGGACCACCCGGAACTCAGACCGGAGGTCTGGGCTGGAGGCTGAAGTTTGAAGGCCATCGGTTCGCAGACGATACTGAGAGCCAGGCGAGCGGACGGGATGGCCCGAGAGGCTGCGTGGGGCCAGGAGGATACAGCGAGATGCAGGGGCGGGGGGGGAGCGGGGGGGGCGGGGGAGGGCAGATCCCGGCCCAGACCGGCTGGGTCCCTACAGCGCCTCACCGCCGGGCGCGCGCCGGGCGGGGGCCACGTTAGAAGGGGGTTGTCTGGGCGGAAGAGCCCCCCCCCCGCCCCAGCACGTCCTTTCCCCTCTTTCCAGGGCTCGCCCAACAGGGCAGGAAAAGCGGGGCTAAAACCTGGCCCCGGGAAACCAGTAGTAGCGGATAACCGAGCGGTTCCAGCCACGGCAGCCTGCGGCCTCCGGGGCGAAGGCGGGCCGCAGACCCCCGCCTCCCGGCCGCCGCCCGCGCGCCGGTAGGTGAGCCGGCGCGGAACGGACAGCAAGGATCGTCTCTGAGACCTCCGGCGATCCAGTCTGGGGTCTCCTCCGTGCCGCCAGCCTAGGCCGTCCGCAGGTTCCGGCACCCTCCGCGCCCCCCCGCCCCCCCCCACGGATCAGACCCCCACCCGCCCAGCTCCGCCTCGGGACCCGTCCTCGTCCCCCAGCTCCGCGCCCGGTACCGTCTCCCGGGGAGATGGTCTCGATCTCCACGCCCATCGCGGTCCCACTGGCCCCGCCTCCGAGGGTCCCCGCTGCAGCCCAGACCCCGGCTCCGCTCCGGCCCCGGCCCGGATGGCGCTCCGACTCGCCTCCCCACCGCCACTGCAGAGCCGGAGGAGGTGCGGCGGCGGCCGGGACCTGCGCGGGGAGGGGCCGCGGGGAAGGGGGCGGCGGGGCGGAGCGGCGCGGAAAGGTGGGGTCGGCCGGGGCGGAGCTCGGGAGAAAGGAGCGGGACCCGCCGGAGCCGGCTAACAAGCAGGGACCCGCCGGCTGGGGAGGATGCTGAGGGAGCCGTGCAGTCTTCCCCGCATCCACCCACTCACCCGTCCATCCTTCCCTCCCTCCCTCCGTCCCACACACGTTTAACTGCTCCGGGGAATCCTCTCGAGCCCACAGACCGGGGGAAGGCCAGCAGCTACGGCGGCGCTCTAACTAGACGCGCTCGTTGATTGACAGGAGGCTCAGGACGTCTGGAAGCGCCCGAGACCCGACCTGGCGAGCTGGGCTGCCCGGATCTGCAGAAGCAAGCGGGAGGCTAGGGAGGGAGAGGGGCAAGGTTCATTGCCGACCCTTCTGCACCCACTCTAAACCCCTACTCACCATCCCAGGTCGCTCTGCCCCACGCTCAGGTGGACTCCCACCTTTCAAGGCAGTAACATCAAGGGAAAACGATCGAATGAAGACAGAGTCGCTGCCTTCGAGGCAGTAAACCTGGGGTGTAAATCCACAGCTACTGCGTGGAGGGGTTCGTGCTGTGGGGTGGATGAATGAGTGCGGCCTTGTGTTCCTCCGTCACGCAGCAGAGACCCAGGAATCTAGAAAGGTTTTCCAAAGAAGTAGCATTTGCTTGAACAATGAGTGGGACTTTGCATTTCTTCCTTAAATGCTGTTTCTCACTCTTCCCTGCATTGTTCCCAAAATCGCGTGAAGGTATGATTCTAACAAGTGGCGCTGGAAGATCGGCGTGGGGACAAAAGCCCGAGCAAGGTGTCCGGAGTGGGCCCTGAGGATGTCCTTCCCCGTGCTCCCAGGTGACCAGGTGGGAGACTCCAGGCCACCGGCATCGCTGCAGGAGGGCTGGCCGTGCCGTCCAGAAAGATGCTGACCAGCCGTACTGCGAGCGTCCGGGCCTGAAATTCCCCACTGGCCGCGGCAGGGGGTGACCCCGAGTCTCCCAGGAGTGTAACTGGGTCTAAAGAAACATAGCGAGGCACTGCTAGTCCATGGTCTGTGGCCGCGGGCAGACACTTTTGGGGTACGTGTAGAACGGGGGTGTGTAACTGGAACAGATCCATGGAGTGGCTTCAGTGGAATGCACAATATTTTGTATTTTTCTGAGAAAATGTTATCATATTTTACAGAGGTCCTCGACTCCTTCCCATCCCAGACTCCACATCCCCCCTCACCCGCAAAAGTTAAGAAATTGTGTTGATTCTTGGGCTCCTGGACTTCTTAGACTAGGAGAACGGGTAAGAAAAGGGGGGAGACGCTAAACCTCTTAAGAGAGGGAGGAATTGCGTGTGGCTTACGGTCGGGAGTGTCACTGAAACTACAACTCCCAGAGATCTTTGCGGCAAAGCCCGAGCTTATTAGCCGGTGGGAGGGACACTCTCTTAACGTGACACACACAAGAACCAATAGGCGGACAGTATTGCTGAGCTTTTCCCGCCCATCGCTCACCTATCAGAGGCCTGGAATCGAAGCTTCCGGTACCCGCTCCGGACTTCGAATCCGCAGTGGGTGAGTTGGGGCGGCTCTGGGAATATTGACTTTTCTGTGGGACATTGAGTTCAAAGGTGTTTTGTCTCCACTGTTGCCAGTCTGGTGGGTGTAGGAAGTCTGTGGGTGGGCGGGGTGGGAGGCGGAGGGCCGGCCCTTCGAGGGGAGGGTGGAAGACAAACAGGTGTGCGGCCAGCGTGGGAAGAACCGTGGGGGGCTGGTGGGCGCTGCTTAGCGGATGCGGACGATCGGGAATGGGTTTAAACAAGAGTATATTCTTTGTAACTCAAGAGTGACACTTCTGAAAATATGTACGGACAAAGCTATCCAAAATGAAGAAAATGCTTTATGCATAGAAACCTTTATAACGGCGTTATTTATAATAGGATAAAGTTGGCTACAACCAGGTGTCTCAGCAGTAAGGAAAATTAGGCAGTTTCACAGTGTGAATATTAAGTGGTCTATAAAAATCACTTACAAAACTTTTAAATAATATGGAGAAATGCTAATATATAATGTTAAATGAAAAAAATGGTGATACGAAATTGTATGGTATGATTGAAAAAGTTTAACCAAAACTGCATGGGGAAAAAGTGTTTAGAGGTATGTAATAGTAATTTTCTTTGGATGGATTTTTTTGGTGTGGATTTACCTTTTGTATATGCTAATTTAGTTTTTCAAATACAAGCGAAAGTTTATTTTAAAAGTCTCAGAGGTAGAAAACGTGAGGCAGCTGGGCTGCGTGGGCTCAGGAGACAGGTTACAGGTTGCGGAGGCAAAAGCAGGTCCCCTGGAGCTTGAGAGAGAGGAAGAGAGAGAGTGGGAGAGAGAGCAAAGGTATGTGCCTTGAGGGAAGAAGAGGGGGAAAAGTACAGGATGTGTAGAAAAAAGGCATGTTAATTTTTAAAATTAAAGTGGAAACACAATAAACTTAGAACAAGTTGGAGGGGGTGTATATCTGTTTAAACTACTGAAATGCTCCCATTCACCCAAGCCCTTTGATTCTCACCAGGAATTGTCTTTAAAGAAGATTAAAAACAGAAGAAATAAGTGGTCATAGAGTGAGCACCAGGTGTTCTGACCACCTCTCCCCTGAACGAAGAGAGTGGGCTTTTCTCTTCCTAAAACACCTGAGGCTTTCGGTTATCTTATAGTCTGAAGGGTCGAGAGGCCAGCAAGTATACAGTTAGCTTTAGGCAAAAATAAATGTTTTAAAAGATACCAAGTAATTGGTGACCTCCTGAAAGCCATTTCAACCTTTGTCCTCTGGGCTCTTCGCTCTTTCACAGTGAGGCTGCTGTTCACTGCTTTGCCTTTAACTTCCAAATTCATCTCTGACTGCCTAAGGAACATTGCTACCCCATAAATATCTTAAATGACGCACATCTAATGCAAAATTGATTGCACTCTAAATAGCCTTTTTTAAAAAATTGATTTTAGAAAGAGAGAGAGAAACATTGATTTGTTGTTCCACTTACTTATGCATTCATTGGTTGCTTCTTGTATGTGCCCTGACTGAGAATCAAACCCACAACCTTGCTGTATCAGGACAGCACTAACCAACCAAGCTACCCGGCCAGGGCCTACACACTCTTCTTAACCTTTGAAGCATGCGCTGCCTTCTGTAGCTCTGATTAATAGTTTAACAATTTCCCAGGCAAAAACTGTGTGTTATCCTTAGTTCTTTCTTTTTTGCCATGCATATCCTACCTGATGTCATTATCTATTCCATCAGCCTTAGAAATGTCTCTCGAATTTGGCCCTCTTTCTCTACCGAAGTAGCTACAAACTTGGCTCACTGTTGCGTTGTGACATTCAAACGATTTCATGGTGCCTTATTGAACTTGTCACTTTTCTTCTTAAGTCCCTCCTGCACATTGCCGCATTAATGTGCACTGGCTCCTCCAAATTCCTCAGCAGGCTCTTTATGATCAGGAGATAAGGTTGGAAAGGTATATCAATATCAGGTAATATAAGGCCTTAACTGCCTTGCTTAAGACATTTGAAATAACTTGTATATGTGGACTGTGGAGACCCATCAAAGGTTTTTGAGCGGAAGTACAGAATGGCCAGAACTGTGGTTTATTTTCAGAGGTAGTTCTGTCCAACTGCACAGAGTATCCAGGCTCTGGGGGAAAGGACAGACGGGCATCAGAGGAACTCTCATCCTGCCCATCCAAAAAGGAAGAGGTGGTCAGGACCTGGACCAGCAGTGGGGCAGAAAGCACTGGAGCGGAGTTTTGTAATTGTCATTAGATTTTTGAGAACGGTATGCCAAATTTCCTCTTGTTGCTGAAGATGAAAATATTGAAATTAATTCTTCTTTAAAAACTTTAGTAACCTTGTGTTTTTTTCCTTATTCACAAATACTTAACCTGTGTGACCCCTGGCCATATTATAGCCTCAATGATGTTAGCCTCACTTGTGTGGCTTAAAACATGACCATATAAATTGCCTTTGATATAATTGGTCCATTAGGAATTTTCTCTGCCCAGGAAAATATACCGTGCATTATTATCAATTAGAGTCTTTTAAAAGTACCTACATAGATATTAGGGGACAACATATTAATTAAGACCAGTGAGTTAGAGGTGGCAGTTTTCATCATTGGTAATGACAGGGAACTTATTTCTGTATTTAGCAAGCCACTGCAGAACCACTTAATCTGGCAGCATAGGCAGAAACATAACAAACAGACTGTTCTTTGTAGAAAAAGACTCTTAAGAGCAGAAACAAAGCTTGCAGAGAGGTAGGTCAAGTTTGAAATGAATGTGGGCAGGGCTAATATCAGCCATAATGTAAAGCTCATATATATTTGAATAGTACTATAGCTCAGCAAAGAGGCCAGGAGATGCAGATCTGAGAGTAATAAATGTAGATGATGATTTAAAACATAAGAGTAGGTGACATTGGAAGGAAGGGAAAGAGGGAAAAGTGATGAGAACTGAGTACTAAACTTTTTGGCTCTATCCACAATCAGATAAATTGGAAACAAGCTGAATTCCCATCTGTAGGGGAGCCATTGAATACATTATGGTCCATGCAAACTGTGGAATACCTTGCTGCTACTAATGCTGCTGCGTGAAATACTGAAGCAGGTCTATTTTACTGACTTGGGAAAGTGCCCATGCTGTAGAATAAAGTAGTGAATAAGACGAGGGTACGATCCCTGTGGTAACTGGGCGTTTTTTGAAAACCCCTTCACACTTCAGGAAGAACCGCCCTTTTTGTGAGTCTTGGTGGGAGGCACAGCCCATCCCCTATTACAGAAGCCTTTGTGGGGAAACCGTCTCCCTGTCCTGGCTGCCAGTGCAAAGGGTACCTGAACTTAGCTCAGCTGGTGGGAGGCAGGGAAGTTCGATTCTCAGCTGTTTGGAAAGTGGCAGCTGTGTTTTATCGCTCCCGGCCTCATTTGGTCCCTGCTTGTTTTCTGAGCCTGGTTCGTGAGCCTTTTCCCCCTTAATCTCACCTGAGTGGTTTCTGCTGTTAATAACCAGGAACTCTGACTTACACCCCATTTTTTGGTCTAAAAGAGAAAACTTAGCACATATGAAATGTTATATATATATATATTTTACATAGACATATATTATATATATAGGTAGGGTTCTTTAACAGTTTCAAAGGCTCTACATCAAACTGTGAACAGTGCTTTTATCAAGGACTTAATATTTGGAGGGCGGTGCCAGCCTGCGAACTGAGGGGTTGCTAGTTAGATTCCCCATCAGGGCACATGTCTGGGTTGCGGGCTGGTCCCCCAGCTGGGGCCTTGACCTGCACAGCAGATCAATGTATTTCTCGCACGTGGATGTTTTTCTCCCCCTTTCTCCCTCCCCCTCTCTTTCTAAAAATAAGTAAATGAAATATTTTTTTAAAAGATTCAGGGTGGTGTGGGGTGGTAGTGGTGGTAAAGAGGAGTTGGCATGGGGTAGGAGGAAACATTTTGCTTTACTTTAGACTCCTGGTTTGTTTGAATCATTTTTTCCATTGCAGTGAACATGTACCTAGTCATCTAAATGTCTGGAAAAAAACTTAATGAAAAAATGAAAGTAATACTTGCATAACCTAGTTTACATTTTTGCGAAGGATTGTTGCAGGGAGAAAATGCAGTAGGGAATGTGAAAATATTCTGAAAATTAAGTGCTATTTGAGTATGACGAAGTAGAGATAGCAAGAGTGACTTGAGTGTTGTTTCAGTTTGGAAGTGAAGGCTATTTTTAAGGGAGTTGAGGAAATAAGTGCTAATAAAGGCAGAGCTGTGAATATCAGTTATCAATTTGGCAGTGAAAGGAAAATAGAGATTAGATGGTGAAGAAGACTCTCAGTTTTTAATTTGAAAATTTTCTAGCTTAGAAGTTGAAAGGCCCGTAAATACTGCCATAGCCTCAGTCTGGATTCAGCAGTAGCTAACATTTTGCTACATTTGTGTTAGCTCTGCATATTTATACTTTTAGAGTATAGATACAGTATATATACACATAAAATTTTGTAGGTCGGTGTGTTTGTTTTCTAAGACATTTGGAAGCAAGTTGCAGGCGTGGGGACATTTCATCCCCGAGCACTTTGGCCTGCGCATTTCAGCAGTAGGGACGTGCCCATAACCACGGTTCCACGGTCACACCTACGAAAATGATTGACTCTGCAGTGTCTTTTAGTATCTATTCCACATTCTAATTTCCCCAGTTCTATAAATTTTTTTTTGCTAGAAAATTTTATTTCCTCCATTTAAGACCCAAAGTGTCTACGTGGCAGTTGCTTATTGTGGCTCAGTCGTCCCTGCAAACCCACCACGTCCCCCTGTCCTTTCGTCCCGCATGGTGTCGGCCTGTGAACGGTGCCGGCCAGTTACCTTGTCCTACATTCTGGATTTGTCTGATTATGTTCTCAGGGTGTATGTAGCTTTTCTTCTTAATTATTTCAGATAACCTTCGTCAGAAAGGATGGAGCTGGGAAAAGGCACGCTGCTCAGGACTGGGCTGAATGCATTGTATCAGGCAGTACACCCAGTTCACGGCCTCGTCTGGACCAACGGGAATCAGGTAGTCCTGACGGACGTACAGCTTCAGGGTGGAGAGGCCAAGTTTGGGGACTCAGAGGTCATCGGACAGTTCGCACATGTGTATGGGGTGTCCTGGGCCCCACCCGGTGCGGCTGACATGCCCCCTCTGCTCGCTGTCCAGCACACGCAGCATGTCACCGTGTGGCAGCTGTGCCCCAGTACTGTGGGGACCGGCAAGTGGCTGATGTCTGAGACCTGTGAGATCAGAGAGTCACTCCCTGTCCTTCCCCAAGGCTGTGTGTGGCACCCACAGAGCACTGTCCTGACTGTACTGACCACACAGGACGTCTCTATTTTCCATAATGTCCACTGTGACAGTTCCCGAGTGAAAGCGGACAGCAGCACCCAGGGCCTCGTTCACTGTGCGTGTTGGACCCAGGACGGCCAGAGGCTGGTGGTGGCAGCGGGCAGCAGCCTGCATTCTTACATTTGGGACAGTGCTCAGAAGACTCTTCGCAGGTGCTCCTCCTGCTCGGTGCTGGATGTGGGCAGCCCTGTGCGCTCCGTCAGAGCCACGGGGGACTCCCAGGTCGCCGTGGCCACTGAACTGCCGCTGGGTCAGCTTTGTGGCTTAAATGCATCTGAAGCACTCGACGGTCCACCTCCTAGTGAACACACTTGTCCGATTGATGACACCATTATCGATGACGTGTTCTCTGTGGATAAGGGGGCCATCCCTTCTCAAACAAATTTGGACGCATCAGCGTCTCCCTTTTCTTCTTCTTTGTCCGCTCCTCTGGATCTAACTCATATAGTTTTCAATAGATCGAAGTCTGAAGGTAATGCCCCAATTTGTGTAAGAAAAAAGGACTGCTTGACAGGAACGGGTCTGGATTCCTCCCATTTGGTCCTGGTGACTTTTGAGAAGGAGGTCGCCCAGACCAGAAGAGTCCCCATTCCGGGCATCCTGGCTCCTGATCTAATCGCATTTAGTATTAAAGCACAGGTTGTGGCGGTGGCTTCCAATACTTGTAATAGAATTTTTATCTATTCTGTCATTCCATCGTTTATGCCAAACATCCAGCAAATTCAGTTAGAGAGTAGTGAAAGGCCAAAAGGCATGTGTTTCCTGACAGGTAAATTGTTACTAATTTTGGTAGGAAAACAAAAATCCAATGATCCGACATTCCCTCCTCCTTCCAAGTCTGACGAGTATGTCCTTCGCTTGATCGTCAGAGAAGTAGTGTTGGAAGAGAAATTTCCAGTGACACAGAGTGAAAACCAGAGTGGCTACGCTACTTTCAGTTCTCTGTTAAATAAAGCAGAGGGGAGACAGCTGATGGAAAGTCTTTCCCCAGATATTTGTCCCCCAAACGGAGGGCTCTTGTTAACCGCTGATAGCCGTGGTCGAGGTGGAAGGCCCGGAAGCGCCCTTATTGAAGAAATCAGAAGTCCTCCGTCCAGCGCTGGCGATGGCTCCGTAGCCCCGGGAACTCCAGACGCCAGGCCTGCCAACCAGTCTGAGACCCTGCCCAGACCCGGCAACGCACCAGACCACACCAGCACCCCAGCGCCTCTGAATGCTCCTCAAAGAAAGAACCTACAGCGGGAAGAGGAAACTTACCGGCCTTCTAAGGAGCTGGAAATTCTCTCCAGGAAACTGGTTGAAGTACAGCAGTGTCTTACTGAACTCACAGCCTTCCTGCATAATGGAAAGAAATCCTCGCCAGTGTATCCACTCTCTCGGGATCTGCCTTATGTCCACATCTTTTACCAGGTAATTTCTCTTTGAAGGGCCAGCACTGTACATAAAAACTCCTGCAGCTAGTGGTTACTGCCAGAAAAAGTAGTAGATGAGAAAGATGATGTTCTAATTGAACTGGGCATGTTATATTACAGGCAGGTTGTTACTCCTTTACAGGTTGGTTGCCTGCCAACTGTATAGATACACATACCAGTGTACACTGATTTTTATCATGTGCATGTGCAAAATACACAAATGGTTATGCTTGTTCTGCCAACTTATATTTAGAAAAAAAATATTTTTAATTGTGCTACTTCATTGAGAAACTTTTTTCTTAATGCACTGCAGACCCTCTTCCATTTGTAAGAAAGGTTGTATTTATTTAATTTTTTAAAGATTTTACTTACTTACTTTTTGGAGAGAGGGGAAGGGAGTGAGAAAAAGAGGGAGAGAAATACCAGTGTGTGAGAGAGATGGTTGCTTCTTACCCTCCCCGCATCGGGGACCTGGCCGGCAACCCAGGCATGTGCCCTGGCTGGGAATCCAACTGGCGACCTTTTGGTTCACAGGCCAGCGCTCAGTCTGTTGGGCCACACCAGCCAGGGTTATTTAATTTTTTTTTTTAATGCATCTGTTTATGTGTGCATATGCTAACACAGCATTGCATAAATAGCATCATATCATTTTATCATGAGCACTTTCCTTCCTGATCGAACAGAGCTCTGCCTCTTCCTTTTTTAATTAGCAGCTTAATGTGGACCCTCCTGTGGTGTACTCCACACTCTTACAACCTTGCACACGTCTTCATGTACGTAGATATTGGTTGGGACAAAAAGTCTGTTACATCTTTTCCATAAAATAAAGCACATTCTTTTCATTTTCACCAATAACTTTATTGATTTGGATATTTTGAGTATGTCACTATTCCAGTAGAAGCTGCTACTGGTTTCTGGTGGGTAGAAGCCAGGGGTGCTGCTTTTAATACATAAGAAAGCCCACAGCAAAGAATTCTTTCACCAAAATGTCAGTAGTACCAAGAAACTTCACAAACTACATCTTTTTTAAAGAATGTATTTATTTATTTGTACAGAGGGGAAGGGAGGGAGAAAGTAAGTGAGAGAGACGTCAGTGTGTGGTTGCTTCTTGCACACTCCCAACTGGGGACCTAGCTTGAAACCCAGGCACATGTCCTGACTGGGAATTGAACCGGCGACCCTTTGGTTCACAGGCCGGCATTCAGTCCACTGAGCCACACCAGCCAGGCCATAAACCACTTTGACACATTCGATCAGTCACTGCACCTTCTCCATACACTGCACAAATCGCTTTTTGCACTTTATTGCATTTTTAGCTGTCTTGAAATAATAAAGCATAATACGCCAAAAATGTGTATTTTCTTCCATCTTCTATATTAAAATGGCTTCATGAAAATTCACCAATTTTGATGTTTTTTTAATGCATGTTGATGTGACAGCTGTCACAATCTAACAAAATTGTTTTGACTGAAGTTGAAGACAACTAAGCACTACTAAAGCCATCTTATGGAAAAAAATGTAATGGACTTTATGGCCAACCCAATATATAGGTACAAGATATATACAAGGTTCAGAGGTGGTTATTGTTTTACAAAAATAGGGTCATGTGGTGCACTCTCGACTTCATGCGGAGAGTGTGCTGCTTATTCAGGTGTTCCCGTGGTGAGTGGACATTCACTTTGTTTTCAGCTCTTGCCCACTCCACGTAGTGCTGCGATAGTATTCTTGTATGTATCCGTTTGTATTTGCACTTTTATTTCTGTTGGGTTGGTTCCCAGAACCGAAGTACAGTTCAAATATATATGTTTCTCCTTTTAAGGATTTGCCAGATTGCCTTTCAAAGATTTGTCCTTAACAATGTATCATCACAGGCTCATCAGCAGCCTTTTCCTCACGTCCTCGTGAATCTGATAAATGCGAAGTGTTGTTTCACTGTTATTATTTATCCTTTACTATTAATGAATTTGAGTAAATATGTCTTCATGTTTGGGGTCCAGTAAATAAATTGCCTATTGCTCATTTTTTCCTATTGATTACCAGTTTACAAGAAGTTTTTGATATTGTAGAAATTAATATGCATGTAATAGTCTAGATTTTCTTGCTATATTTCATTTTGTTCTTTTACATTTGTTTTTTTTTTTTTACTGATTTTAGAGAGCATGCAGAACTTTCCTTCCCCCTAATTACAAAGGTAATATATGCTTATTGAGGGGGAAAAATATAACCAATATAGGAATAATTAATGTTGAAAGTAAAAATTCTCCATAATCCAAACCTTAGAGAAAAATCATAGTTAGTTGTAAGCACATCTGTATTTTTTCTTTCAAATAATAACATATCTTTTTCTTTTGTACACATTTGTAAATGTGAAATTATGCATTTTTTCAGTAAAGGAAATGTGGGATTTTTTGCCTTTCTAATTCTTCAGTTCCTCAGTTTATAATGAACTGATCCAACCAAGCTGTTACCAGTAATTGCCTCTAGAGGGTAGACTGGGGGGCACCTTACTTTCTGCACTACAAAGTTTCATTTGACTCTTCTACATTGAGCATGGGTTCCTTTTGTAATGAGAAACATAAAAGAAAAAAGATAATCAAACACAAGGAAGAGTTTCCCCTGTGATTTCCAAAGCAACATTTCATACAGAGTTCAAATAAGTGATGAGCCGCTTCTGGCCCTTCCGGTTTGTTCGTGACATCTTTTAAAACGTTAGTAGTAGACGTGCTCTTTGAGTTGTTCATCCTTCCACAAATGGACAGTTTGTGTTTCATCACTGAAATTATGTTTCTCATCAGTCAGAAAATGAGTGGTGATAATTTCAACTACAAAATAAGTCAGACACATAACTTACTGATAAAACTCTTCAGATGCTTACGTGAAGGTATTGTTTCAAATAATGTATAATTAGGGAAGTTATATTTTTCTCTGTTCTATGATTATATCTTCGGACTCTTAATATATCTTAAATTAGAGCTATATTTAATATTTCCTTTCTCTAGGGATATTTGAAACCATTTTTAAAGATGAGTTACTGTTTACTAAGACTTTTTAAAATTTAAAAATCATTTTTCTTTGTACTTTTTCTAAGGTGAGCAAATTTTGACCAGTTTACTCATGCACACCCTCTGCTTCTCTGCCACTGAGAGTGGTCCTTCTTGGCCTTTTCCTCACTACAGGAAGCATGACGCTTCTTAGTTATACCCAGAATAGCCACGCACCTGTTCCTCACCATCGGATTGTGCCTCCTAGGCTGCCGTTCACCATCCTGCAGTGTTATTAGTCATGTCTTAGGACAGCCAGTTCCAGGTGGTGAAGACGTAGCCTTCTGGAAAAAGTAGGGTCTGTGCTCTGTTCTGCCCTTTAGTTGTGTTAAATAACACAGCAAAAAGCTCCTTATATAAAACTCGAGTCTGATTGATAGTGGTAATAGATAAGGATTTAAAACAACTATTTGCACTTTCTCTTCTTAAGAAATGTTAACTCCATTGCTTCTGCAGTTGGCTTAACCACTTTTGTTCTTGTGTTTGAAGAAACCTTACTGTGTAGGTCCCGTCGTTGAAACAAGAGACATGCTTCTCTGCAATGGCAAACTAAGGCTCAGTACCATTCAGCAGACTTTTGGCCTCTCTCTTGTCGAAATGCTGCATGGTAGGTAAAATTGAGAAATTAACCCTACCCAACAACTCCTTTCCACCGTCTGTTTTGTACAATAACTTCCACTGGCAATGAAAATGACATGTACTGCCCTGGCTGGTGTGGCTCAATGGACTCGCTGCTGGCCTGCGAACCAAAAGGTTGCTGGTTACATGTCCCTACCAGGGCGCATGCCTGAGTTGCGGGCCAGGTCATGCGAAAGGCAACCAATGGATGGTTCTCTCTCACATTGATGTTTCTCGCTCTCTTTCTCCCTCCCCTCCCCTCTCTCTAGAAATAAAAAAAAAAAACATAATAAAATCTTTTAAAAAAGCAAAAGAGCCCTGGCTGGTGTGGCTCAGTGGATTGAGTGCCAGACTGTGAATCAAAGGGTTGCTGGTTCGATTCCCAGTCAGGGCACATGCCTGAGTTTCAGGCCAGGTCCCCAGTAGGGGGCATGGGAGAGGCAGCTAATCACAATTTATCATGTTTCTCTCCCTCTCTCTCCTTCCCTTCCCCTCTCTCTAAAAATAAATAAATGAAATCTAAAAAAATAAAAAGTTAAGACACAGCAGACTTGAGCCCTGGCCAGGCGGTTCTCTTGGTTGAAGTGCCATCCTGTACACCAAAAATGTTGCAGGATCTAGCCCTCATCAGGGTACGTACCTGGGGTGCTGATTCCATCCCTGGTCAGGGTGCATCCAGGAGGCAACCAATCGATATTTTCTTCTCTTGCCCCCTTCCCTGCCTCCCTCCCCCTTCTTCTCTCTAAAAAAATCAATAAACATGTCCTCAGGTGAAGATTTTTTAAAAAGTTAAGACACGATAGACTGGAAAGGACCGGAGAAGGCCCAGGCATGTGCTATGCCGGTGGCCCTCGGTCACCCTGGAAGAAGCCACTGGGGGTCATTTATCTGGGCTGTTCTAGTCCAACCCCAGTCCCTCAGCCTCCCTGGGTGTGTAGAGGTCGGAATGGGTCCGAAGAATAGAGAAGGTTCTTCCGTAGCAGTGGCTGTTCCCAGCCTCATGTATTTTCTGGACAAAGTGGCCCACAACTGGTAGGGAAGGCGGGGGCACTCGCACACACGACCCCCCCCCCCCCCCCGCACAGGACCCCTGCTGAGCGTGTGGACCGGAGCTCAGAGGCGCAGTGCCGAGTGATAACTGCCGAGCCCGAGTGCAAGTGCGTGCTCCCTGACTGCGCGGAGTCAACACCCCCTTCCTGCCGGCCCCAGCCCTCTGTCATACTCGCCCCTCCGTCCCCCATTCCCTGCAAAGTCGTGTGAGGATCAGGTTCCGTGTCACCAGCTACTCAGTTCTTCCCCTCACAAGGTGGTACTTGGTTTTCCTGGGCGAGGGGACAAGTGCCCTAAACGGCCCGTGTGGTGGTTTTGCCCGGCAGGCTCCCACTGGATCCTTCTCTGTGCCGACAGCGAGGGCTTCATCCCGTTGACCTTCACGGCCGCGCAGGAGGTAATCGTGCGCGACGGCAGCTCCAGGTCAGACCTCTTCAGAGACTCTCTGTCTCAGAGTCTTGATTCTGGCCCTTGTCTTGACGTCTGTAAGGATCTTCAAGCCCAGAGTTTGGATTCCACTGGCTATTCTGACCGTTTGGGCAGTCCGGCCTGACCCTTGTTTATAGAGTATTCGCTGCGCAGCTTCTCGGATGAGACCTTTGAAGACCTGTGTCCACTGTGGACTCTCCCCGGCCGGGGTTTGCGCCCTGCTCTGAGGTGAAGCGCTCGCCCTGGCCGGCTGCCCCCCCGCAACCCCCAGGCTCCCTGCGGCAGGGCAGATGGCTCCCAAAGAGCTTGCTCACGTATTCACGACCGGCTTCGTCTGAAGGCAGAGTTCCCAGAACGAGACAGTACGACGGTGCCGCACGGATTGTGTTTTACGGTTTCTCAGAGGCTTTCTGTCTCTTGCCCGGAGCTGGGTCAGAGCTGTCTCAGAAGTGAAGCACTTAAAAGGTGCCGCGGCACTGTTGCAGACCTTTCTCGGGGCTCACGGGAGGGTGAGGGGTGCCGGAGAGCAGAGCCCCCAGCGTGCCCACTCCACTCCGAACCATCAGGAGTCGCCAGAGCTCCAAGGGGGACGGACACACAATGCACTGGCTTCGCCCCCAGGGCTCCCTGGGGCAGGAGCTAGTGGTGATGCTGGCTGGACCGCCCACAGCTTAAACGTGGCCTTCCTGCTTCTTTAGGACATTCTGGCTGACGAAGGTCCAGATGCTCCTCAAAAGTGGCCCTGGGCAAATTTCGAGGGGCCCCTCAAGCCCCCCCACTCCAGCTCATGCTGATGTTGCTAGTGCGGTGCCAAGCACGGGGGAGGTCTAAGGTGTGATTTTGTGTTCTTGCCACTTCTGATTTTCTCCATGAGGATTTTTGTGTTGTGTGTTTTTTGTTGGTTTTTTTTTTTCCAGTTTTGGGATTACAAAAGTATCCTATTTTTCCCCATCAATTCTTAAATTGTCACTTTAATTTCGGTATTTTTCTTTCATTCAAGTCTTAGACACCAGCATAGAGTCTGTGAGAGAAAGTATTTCAGACAGTTGGAAATTTCCCTGAATCCGAGGTAGGTCTAAACGGTACCAGTTATTGTCACTATGGGCCGAAGGGCCAGCTTAGGATAGCAGAGAGAGCCCTGACCCCCGACCTTAGACAGGCACAGCTGCTCCCCACCCCCCGGCGCGGCTGCAAGTGTGGTCCCCTGCAGCCCGGCAAACGGCCGGTGTGCGGCCAGAGCACACCCGCAGGTCAGTGGTTTTGGCCGTAGACACTACATTAGCGCACAGGCATTTTTTCCATTTCCTTTAAAATTATCTAGAAAGAAATATTTTGTGCCTTTGGGGACCCTTGTCTGTCTGTTGCAGCTGATGAAGATGGAGCTGGGCTAGGGCAGAAACAAGGCCCCATTTTGTGGTTCAAGTGCATTAGAGAGCTGCTGGGATAATGGAAGTGGAGGCCGCTTGTCTGGGTTCGGTTGCCCGAGAGCAGCAGCCGAGACCAGTCTGAGGCCTGGCTCTGCTTTCCGGGCGGGATGAAAGTGCACTTCTCTGAAGACCAAAGAGGGGGCTGGGGACCCTGAAGGAACAAGGTCAAGGCGGGTACCTCAAGGTGTATGTTGTAATCAGCATTTCACTGGTCAGAATCCTGTGTGAATGTGTTCAATAAAATCACTCGTGGCTGATGCAGCTGTTGTGAATGTTATTAAATATGTTATTGTTGTTCTATTACAGTTGTCCCGGTTTCCCCCCCTTTGTCCTCCGCCAGCCCACCCTGCTGGAGTGTTTGGTGGTGTCTCCTGTGTGATTATCGCTGGTCTACAGAAATGTCCTTGCTCTTCTGCATGTGTATGTTGTCTCTGTATCTCTTCTTCGGTGGCCGTGTCACCGGAAAGGGGTTAGTCGGAGTGGGTCTGCCTTGGGCTGGCTGGTCGGCGTGGGTGCTTGACTTCGTGCAGGAAAGACCTCACACCCGGAGTCCGGTGATTTGGGGAGGACGCTTACTAAAGCTGGGACAGGGAAACGAAGGGAGGGAGGGCCAAGGGTGGAGGCCGCCGCGGGAGAGAGCCTGGGCAGTGCTCTCTAGACACGTTACAGGGAAGACGTGGGCCACGCTGGGCTGCCGGGACTCGCTGGGGAGTCAAGGTCACAGTGACTCCTTAGCTGCCGCTGTCCATTGTTCCCTTGGGTGCAGGCGTCACTGGGACCCTTAGAGCTCAGGACAGAAGAAGCGAAGCGCACACCCGAGGAAAGGGCGTGTGGGCGTGCTCAAGGAAGAGCGCGCCCACGTTCGTTTAATCAGCAGTCTGCCGGGTACTTACGGGGGACCGCCTGTGGAGCTCCCCGGTTTTCTCTCTGTGCTGCTCGCTCCTCTGCAGTATCCTGCCCTGCAGACTGGCCGTGTTGGTCCCCAGACTCCTCCCAGGGAGAGCCCTCTGTGCCCCAGATAGTCTCTCCCCTGTCACCCGGGACCTCGCAAGGCAGTAGCCAGGGCAGTCGTGAGAGTCGCCTCGTTCGTGTCCCCTCTCTCCGAGGACTCCTCCACTGCCTGAGGCCCAGGGTCTCGACAATGGTTTCTTCATGGATTTTGTCCAGTTTTTCTTACTGCTTCAGTCAAGAGGCTAGATCTGGTCTCTGCTACCCCAGCATGGCCAAAAGCAGAAGTCTTTCCACATCTTGTTCATTTATGTCTAGATGCTTTGTACTTTTTTGTTGCTACTGTTAATGATATGTTTTAAAATTATGTTTTATAACTGTTGCTGGCATATTAAAATGCAGTTCATTTTTGTTCATTTTATATCAACTACCTTGCTATGCTCTTATTAATTCTAACGATTTATCTGGAGATTCTTTTGGAATGTCTGTAGGCAGTCATCACTTACAAATAACAACAACTTTGTTTTTTTTCTTTCTTATACTATTGTCTTACTGTACTGGCTAGATCCCCTGACAAAGCATTGAATAGAAGCAGTCAGTGATAGTGGGTACCTTCCTACGTTCCTGACTTTAAAGGGGCTGGCTCACTGTTAAGAATGATGCTTGCTAATGGATTTTTAGTAGACATCCTTTCTCAGTTTAAAAATTTTTCTATTCTATAAGTACCTTTATTATTCAAAGGATATTAGACTTTTATCAAATTATTCTTTCTGTATGAAGATTATACTTTTTTCCTCCTTTAATCTGTCAACGTGGTAAATCTTGATAGATTTTTCTAATGTTAAACCTTGCATTCTTGGAATAAGCCCACTATGTTCATGGTATATTTATTTTTTAGGCATTGTTAGACTCAGTTCACTGATACTTTGTTTAGGATTCTTGCTTTTGTGTTCCTGAGTGCTATCAGCCTGTGAATTTTTTACCGTCCTTGTCTGGTTCTGGTGTCCAGCTTATTCCGGCCTGATGTGAGGAGTTGCAAAGTGTGTCTTTTTCTTCTCTCTCTCTCTTTTTGAGTTGACTTTTTTTATTCCCTGGAAGGGTTTGCATAAGGTAGGAATGATCCTTGTTTCAAAGTTTGATGGAAGTTGGTAAAAACCCCTTGGATCTGGTGTTTCCTTTGTAGGAATTTTTAAAAATATTTATAATATTTGTGGGACCATGAAGGATTTCTGTGTGTTTACACCCACACGCATCTACACTCCATTCTGTTATGCTTGTTTTGAAAAAAAAAAAAACAAATTTGTTCCAATACAATCACTGTATGAGGGAACAGTTAGAGCCTAACATGAATGTCCTGTGGCTTGTGCACCGGTTTCGTCCTTAAGTGACAGTCGGCAGACACGGAAGGCAGTGCCCAGCGAGCTGAGGCCATAGTCACACACACACACCTGTGCGCATCCCAGCCGCCCAGCGAGCAGCTGTGTCGGTTCACCGGGTGTGCTCTGAGCCACACCCACTCATATCTGCTCTAAACTTTCTGCCCAGTGTCAGATAACTTCTGCCATCGGAGAATAACCTACAAGCTGCAGCCCTTTCTTTCTGTTGCTTAATCCACACTCGGTGTGGATGGGGATGGGTGGTGGAGGGAACAGAGAGAGAGGAAACTGAGACCACAGTTTGGGTTTTAGTGACTGGACCGATGCTGACGCAGCTGACCGAACGTGCAGGAGGCAGACCAGGGACGGGGGTGTGGTAATGAGTTCCACCGTGGACCTGGGCTGCCATCTGAACGACACACAGGTGGGCACCTGGCCTCGGCTCAGTGGGTCTGAAGGTCCGCGGATCGCTCCAGGCTAGAAACTGAGAGGTGAATAGGTGGTGATGGTGAATGAGACCCAGGGCCCTGGGGAGCCTGCGGCCACTGCAGAGCAACAAAAGAAAAGACAGGAAGTGAATGGTCAGGTGCTGGAGGAGAGCCTGGGGGGTCAGGGCCTGCAGGCCAAGAGAGGAGCTTTGAGAAGGAGGGGTCACCGTTCATGAGTACCAGTCAGAGAGGGTTTTCTTGGTCACATATTATCTCACTTAATTCTCACAGCCATCCCGAGGTGTAGGCAGTAGCGTAGACATTTGTTCAAAAAAGAAACGGAGGCTCAGATTTATTGACTCAGTTGACTGGTCACATGTGTAAAAGATGAAAGCAACATACAAAGTCCCACCTCCCTTTCTCTGATGCTGTAGTTTCCCTGCCGTGCCGGGCCGCACCCGTCCCCTCTGTGGGGAGGCAGAGACGGTAGGGCGGGTGAGGGGGGATGGCAGGTGAGGACAAGGAGACCATGCTGCGGTGGCTGGTGGGTAGGGGGAGAGTAATGCAGATTATGTGGAAGGGAGAAAGCTAAGGGAGTAGGGAAGGCTGTTTTGTTTGAGAATGAGGGCAGTGCAAACACTTGCTCATTCAGCAAATGTTAATTCACATTGAACATTTACTTCTGGACACGGAGGACGTAGCAGTAAAAACCGAAGTCCCTGCCCTCACAAAGTTTGCATTTTCATGGATATGTCAAGCAATAAACAGGTCACTGAGAAACCTACAAACAAAGCAGGCAGAGCTCATTGAGTGCTGGGGAGGAGGAAGGGCTTGGCTGTGAGCCAACAGGAAAGCAGTGGGGGCTCCTCCAAGGAGGTGATGGTTTAGCAGCCATCCAACCTTGTGAGGCCTTGAGGCCTGGTAGGGGAGCTCCATGGCTGGGACCTCAGTCGGAGGCAGGGTTGCTGCTGTTGAGTGTCTTGAGCAAGTGGAAGGCATGCACTCCTGCATGTAGGTGGGGAAGGAAAAGGTGGTGGAGGGGAAAGGGGCCAGGGGAGATCCTGCCCTTGGCCAGTGATAGGCCTCGGGTTTGCCTTGGTGACAAGGAGAGATCCTTCCTCTCAAAACGCAGGGCGGGCTCTGAGGGTGGGTGTCAGCAGAGGGGCATGGGCATGGGCAAGTGCACCGAAGGTCCGAGAGTAGAGTAAGGGGAGTTACCGAGGAGTCGGAGCCGAGCCAGGCAGGGATGCTGGCGATCGGTTGCATGCCAAATGCTTTAAGCACCAGCTCCCTCCACAGCCTTTGGAGTCAGGCCGACTGAGGTTTCAGACCATTTCTGCCACCAGCTGACCTTAGGCAAGTTGCTTAAACTCTCTAACTCCGTTTCCGTGCCTGAAAATGAAATGATAGTGCCCACTTCGTAGAGTGGCTGTGGGGGACAAATGGCGGTGTTACCGGGTGGGGCCTGGCCCTGAGTGGGTCTGCCCGGGGCTGACTGCAGGTTGTGGGTTCTTCGTATGGGAAAGATGTCACGAGTCCCGGTGACCCCGAGGATCCGTTTATTGAAGCTGGGGACAGTAAAACAAGGAAGGGCCCAGCACAGAGGAAGCAACAGGAGAGCCTGGGCTGGACTGCCTTAGCTCACTGCAAAGTCAGAGCAAGCGGGGCCTTGGGGACAGGGTCAGGGGGTTAGCCTGGGACAAGCTGTCAGCTGCCTATTGCCTTAGAGTTTAGGCTACATGTGCCTGAGGGGAAAGAAGTAGGGGGAGAAGGGAGTGGCTGGGCCCCAGAGGGAGTGCTTGTGTGCTGGGTCCTTTGTCTTGAGGCCTCTCTCTCTCCCTCTCTCATATCTCTCTCCTCTCCCTCTCCTTCTCCCTCTCCCTCTCCCTCTCCCTCTCCCTCTCCCTCTCCCTCTCCCTCTCCCTCTCCCTCTCCCTCTCCCTCTCCCTCTCCCTCTCCCTTTCCCTCTCCCTCTCCCTCCCCCTCTCCCTCCCCCCTCTCCCTCCCTCCCTCCCTCCCTCCCCTCCCTCCCCCCTCCCTCCCTCCCTCCCTCCCTCCCTCCCTCCCTCCCTCTCTCTCTCTCTCTCTCTCTCTCTCTCTCTCTCTCTCTCGCAGGCGGGAACCCCGGGGGAAGTCTCAAGGAGGGCTTCGGTAGAGTATCCATCAGTTCTGCAGGTGCACCCTTTGAGGGTCGTGGTCTCCTCTGACTGGTCAGAGGCAGGGCAGTTGGTTCTGGCATCACCCACCTGGTTTTGCTGCCTCTCTCGGCCTGGAGCTGGAACACAGCTGAGGCCTAGATGTTGTCTCCAGGGAGAGAAGCCCAGGAGAGGAGAGGTTACCCTGGGGGCCAAGTCCTTGTTTCCCCAGTTTTGCCCCCAGCCAGGCACTTCCTTCCGCCCTGGGGACCATCTGCACCTGGCTGTAAATGTTTCAGCCAGTTTGTTCGGCTTTCTTTTTGTATTCCACTTGCCAAGGGATTTTCCTAGCTTCTTACTGTCCTGTCTCAGTAGGATACCTTTTGGCCAGCCCATGGTGGTCCTCACCCCTGAGATCTAGCCCCTGGCCTCAGAGGTGGCCCCCTGCGGCTGTCTGTGCTGGACAGCTCTGCTGCTTGAGACTGCACCCCTGCGGAACACAGGTGACATCGTTTGGCACGAGCTTCTGATCCTACCTGCATTGCCCAGGTTTCCAAAGCACGCGTAACCTGACGTGGCAGAAACTGGACCCTGCCTTGTCGTACCAGGTGTGGTCCCCACACGGCCAGTGTGGTTCGCCAGCGTTAGAAACTGCTCTATGTGTGTGCCCGCCTGTGTGTGTGCCCGCCTGTGTGTGTGCCCGTGCACGGCAGGGGGTGGGCAGAGAGGGACAATGAAGAGAAGCTGAGCCCAGCTCTTTCTCTGGGGCCCTGTGACCTCAAGGATCAGAAACCCATGTCAGTGTCACAAGGGCCCGAGAGGTCAGGCATCGGAAAGGCCAGGTCACGTTCTGCACTTGCACTGAGAGGTCAGTTCCCTCTCGTGCCACAGCGTTTGCGCAGGAAGCCAGAGGCGTCAAGCTCTGAGGCACACGTGTCTGAGGTCTGGCAGTCTCAGGGGGAGCCTCACACCCAAGGGGCAGCCAGAGGCCCAAAGAGGAAGTGCAAAGGAGCCTAGCACTGGGCGGGGTCAAGAGAGCTGACCCCGTGGAAGGGACAGGGCTGGGGAGACATTCAGGGCGCAAGGCTGTGCCTCCTGCACCCTTTGGGTGCCCTGACTTCTGGAGGAGGAGTTGCTGGGACATCAGCGTCCCCACACGTTCCCAACTGGTCTGTAAGCGCCAGCCCACAAGAGCCACTGTGGCCTGCTGGAGTCTCAGCTTTCTTTCTCTTCCAAAGGACAGAAGGAACCCTCTCCCACATTTCCTCCCTCCAGTCGGAAGAAATTTGGAGTCAGACACAGCTGGGTTCAGTGATGTCAGGCACCCTCCCCTTCCCTCTTTGGGGTGAGAGTTTCCCAGCAGGTGGGATGATCGCAGGCTGGCCACTGTCACATTTTATAGACTCAATAGAAATCCTTTAATTTGTTTTTGTTAATGTTTTATTTATTTTGAGAGTGGGGGTGAGAGAAAGAGGGAGAGAAACATCGATGTGCAAGAGAAACATTGACTGGCTGCCTCCTGCACACCCCCAAGTGGGGACCTGGCCTGCAACCCAGGTATGTGCCCTGACCGGGAATCGAACCGGCAACCTTTTGGTCCACAAGCCAGTGCTCAATCCACTGAGCCACACCAGCCAGGGCTAACTTGTTTTAAAAAAAAATTTAAACTTCAGTGGATCTTCCCTAAAGATACAGCTTCTAGAAGGCTGTGGTTCCTATACTTCTTATAAACGTTCAGAAAAAATAGTTCCACAAAAATAACTCTTCATAAAAACGATTGGTCTTGGGTGGCTCGACAGCAGTCTGCCCCCCTCTAGAGTCTGCATCGCCGACCTGTCTGAGCAGAGGGAAGGCGCGCGGCCTCCTCGCCCCGCCGCCGCCCGCATCTGCACTCCTGGGCTCTGCTGGCCTACCGCGTCTGTGTCTCTCCTAACCGAGCATCCCAGCCTGTCCGTCTGTCCCCCCGCTGCTCATCCGCGTGGTGTCTGTCACTCTCTCTGTCACATGTCCACTGGAGCGTCAGGGGAACACGAGGCCTGTCTGTGTGCCTGTCCTGTCAGGTCAGCAGTTGTTGCATCCGGTGCCCCCACGGGGAGTCTGCAGGCCAGGCCGGTGGGGGCGTCCTTCTTTCAGGACAGGCTGCTGTGGGGATGCTTTCCAAGGTCAGACGTTGCCCGGAGCTGGGTAGTCGGGGCACGGGTTTATCTGAAGTGGTCTGTGGTCAACGGGCAAGACATGACAGGTGGGACCCAGGCCAGTCCCTTCCGGAGAGGTCGCTGGAGACCCCATGTCCCAGGGAGAAGGTCCTGTGTAGGCTGCGAGGTAGGGGTTACAAACGGCCGAGAAAACGGGGCGGCTTGAGCCCAGAGGATGCTGGCTCCTGCTGTTCCAGCCCGTGGAAGTCTCGTGCTTCACGCCAGGCTGTAACTGGTCCTCCTGCAGGGAGGGGAGGAAGCCAGAGGGTGAGGGAGCAGTGGGGTCTCTGTCTGGCCACAGACCCCTCTGGGAGGGTCAGTGGCTGTTCCCTGTCTTCCTGGCCACTCCTCCCCTCCAGCCCCCCTGTGAACACGACCACGAGCCTGTTTCCCAGCGTCCCACCACGCAGTCCTCCACCTGAGTCACTCCCTGAGTGCAATGCATGACATCAGTGCCACTTGGCTGGAGTGTGAGACCAGCCACACTGAGCCGAGGGGGACCGATGATGAAGCCACCTTTGCCCCCACTGTGTGGTCCTCTGTAGGTACATGTGCTCATGTTTGTTAAGTGCATGAGCAAAACATGGACACGTGAAAGTCTGCGGGGCCGTGTTGATACCGCCCATCTGCTTGGCCTCAGGCTCTGTGCTGGGCCCTTAGGACATAAAATGAGTAAACACAGCTGCAGCCTTCCAGGTCCCCACCGTCTGCTGGGAAAGCCAGACAGTGAGCAGATCGTCCCTGCAGGGGACAGTGCTGTGGGAGGAGGAAGGACAAGGCTCAGGGAGCTCTCAGCACAGCCTGCGGGGCGGGGCACAGCGGGGGAGTGGAAGATGATGATCCCCAGGTTCTGGCCCCGGGCTGGAAGACAGTGGAGCTGGTTGGGACAAGGAGATGAATCCCATCTGGGGCCCGCTAAGACCGTCTGCCATGGTCATGGGACGCCAGGTGGGAATGTCCAAGTGAGAGCCAGCTGTGTAGATCTGGAGCTTGAAGGAAGTGTAGGGGGACGTGGGGTTGGGAGGGGGACAGCTGTGGGAGTCACCAAGCACTAGAGGTTCTCAAGTCCAAGCACGCAGATGAGGTGCCTGGGATTACGGGGAGCACAAGGAACGGGTGAACATGGGCGCCCTCCCCTACCACCGTCCCACAGGTTATCAAAGGAAGGGGACTGAGCAAGGACGACCAGAGTAGCAGAGGAAAGTCCAGAAGATGGCGCCACTGAAGCCAAGGAAAGATCTTCCAAAGGCAGGACTGTCTGGTGGTGTAAATACTGCCGTGAGACCTCAGGACTGGTTGGCCTCACGGCGGCACACAGGCGTGCGCCTCCCTGGGTGTGGGTAGCCCTGCGGTGTGTCCCCGTGTGCGTGGGGTGCCCACCTCCGGAGGCTCAGCCGGCGGGAGGTGTCCTGGCTTGGCACCTTTGGAGTGGGGCTGACCATGAGGATGCAAAGACCAGTGAGGATCATGCAGGTGGGCACAGCACCGATGAGGACCTTGAGGGTCACCACCACCTGCTCTGTCTGCTTGCAGGCTCCGGCCTCATACCCTGCAAACCTGGAGAAACAGCCCATGTGCAGCCAGCTCACATCCTCCCCAGCCTGGCTCCTGGGGGAGGGGTCCCAGATCCCCGACCTCTGCACCACCTGAAACTTGAATCCATTCCTCCGTCAGACCAGCCTAAACATCGTGGACGGGACAGTTGAGGGAATGGGCTGGCCAGGGAGGAGTCGAGAGAACTGAGAATGTGGGGGCTGAGGCTTCAGATGGGGTGCACCCCTCAAGAAAGGCCCCTTACAATTCACAGTGTAACCTGGGGCAGGTGATTCCCCCCACACTCTCCAAAGAGCAGAGCTTGGCCCCTGGCTGGCTGGGGTGGGGGACTCGGCCCTTGTACCACCCCACTAGTCTTGTGCCCCTGGCACAGCCCCACTCTGGGACTCACTCCAGACTGAGCGTGGAGATGCCCAGGGCGCCTGCGCCTGACAGCTTGGTGAAGAAGACATAGGAAGAGTAGAAGATGGTCTCCATGCCTGGGCCGTGCGGGTGCTGCTGCTGGAAGTCGTCTACCACGTCTGGGAGCATGGACCTGGGGGCGGGGGCTGCGGAGTTATCCCTTTGAACCCCCGGCAGCCACCAGCCTGCAAACTCTCTGGGTACAGAGACCAAGTCAGAGTTGTCCCTGAGGCCCCACTGCCCGGGACCAGAACTGGCCCACAGGGAGCCAGACAATACGTCTGCCTGTTCCACCCCACCCGCTGGCTGCCCCCCATTCCTGCTGTCTGGTGCTCTTCTGCGAGGGCTCCCAGGATGGAGGACCTGGTGACCTCCATGCCCTGCGAGCAGGAGAGCGGCTCCGGAGCACAGGCTGGCCACCGGGGACCTGGGACAACAGGCTGCCGTGCAGGAGGGCAGACCCCTGAGGAAGGGGGTGGAGCTCCCCCATTTCCCCCCTCGCCCAGCCTACCAGGGCAGCAGCAGGGACACAGCGATGCTCACACCAGATACCAAGGCCACAACGTATGCCACAGGTGCTGTGGGCACAATAGCCAACAGGATTGCAAAAGGCACCATCACCTGGGGAGACAGACACACCGGCTGCTCCCTCTACCTGCACCCCCTGCCCCACCTTGCTCTGTCCTGCACACACTCCCCAGTGTTACTAATGACCCCATTGCCTGGCCCTGTGCTGGTCACCGAAGGCGCAAGTGATTACAGGTCTGCCCTGCTGGCCCCCAGGAGGCTCAGACCCCAAGGTCAACTTTCGCCAACCCCGCTCCAAGCCTTGCTTCCTGCCCCACTCACACAGATCCCGAAGGCCGACATCCTCTTCCCAAACCGCTGTAGAACCCACTCCCACAGCGGGGTGCTCAGGACAGCCGAGACCTGTGAGCACACGGGACCATCACAGCCTGGCCGAGCTGCCAGCGCCTCTGCCCAGATTCACAAAGCCCTGGCTTTTAGGTGGGATGCCCCACCTCGACTTTGACCCCTGGCTAGAACCAGAGGCCATGAACTTGATGAACCTGGTCCCAATTCCACCCACTGCTGGAATGCAGGTGACCGAGGCCACGGCTGAGTCCAGCATGTTGACCACCAGAACTCTGGCCACACGTGTCATGTCAAGGACCACACATGTCCCCAACTCAGGCTCCTGAGTCACCTTGGCCCTGCCCCCCCAGGTCCTCTCACCAGGATGGTGAGCACCAGGCTCTGGATGTGGTCATGTAGCCGGGAGGCATGTGTACAGAACAGGACCAGGTAGCTCTGCTCCACCTGAGGAGGATGACAGGAAGTGGGCATGCACGGGGACTGGCCGGACCTCAGAAGTCCAGAGCAAGGCCTGGGTCTCAATTCTGGCCCCCCTTTCGGGACCTTGAACTCTGGTTGCTGTCACCATTATGCAGTTCCCGCCCCCTACAAAGGATGCTTATCCCCAACACAGATGGTAACACCCTTCCTAGTCCACCCGTCCCCTTGCATGACTAGGATTGGGTGGGCTTGACCACCCCAGACTCTTTTTTCCTGGTGCCTGGGCCCTGACCGTCCTCAATCCCACAAGCTCCATCTAGATCGCTCTCCTCCCAGCACCAGGCTCTCTGAGCCACACACTGGCCACTGGTTAAAACTCAAGCGTCATCCCACTGGGCCATGAGAGGCTGAACCTGAACCTGTGCTGGCTCAGCATGGCTGGAGGCAAGCCCATGGGGACTGGCCTGGCCACAGGTACCTGAACGGCTGCTGAGATGAACAGGAAGGAGATCACCAGCTTCAGGTAGGGTGGGTGCCGGACAGTGAGGCCCAGCCCGGCCAGGAAGCCCATGCCCTGGCTGGAGGCTTCGGCAGAGGGGTCTGCGACACAGGAAGGAGACATCGGCTTGGCAGAGTTCCACACCAAAACCCATTCCCAAGAGGAGCCCTGCCCCCAGCTTTTCTGCTGCCCGCATCCTGCCTGCACCTCTGTACCTGGCCGCTCCTTCACCCCCAAGTGGAGGAAACCGATGCACACAGGGTAAGTCACGGCAACCGCAATGGCTGCAACGGAGTAGAGACAGGCCTGTGGAACGGGACAGAACTCGGGTGGGGGCGATGTCCCCCAGGGGCAGGGCAGGTGTACCTCCCGGTGGGGGCAGAGGGACCCTCAGCCCAAGTGCAAGAATGCTGGGTACTCCTCCCAATCAGCCCAGCAGAAGGAGGGCCAAGCGCCCATGATGGTCCTCCTGCGCCTCCTGCATGCATCCATGCCACCGCAGGTTTGAGGGTCTGTGTTCTCTCTCTCTCTCCCTCCCTCTCCAGCCTCCCTGTCTCATTTATTAACACAAACATTCAGCCCTGGCTGGTGTGGCTCACTGGATTGAGTGCCGACCTGCGAACCAAAGGGTCGCCGTTGGATTTCCGGCTGGGCACATGCCTGGGTTGCAGGCCAGGCCCCCACTAAGGGGTGTGTGAGAGGCAACCACACATGGATGTTTCTTTCCCCCTCTTTCTCCCTCCCCTTCTCATTAAAAGTAAACAAAATCTAAAAAAAAAGAAATTCATTGTTGCTGATTTCTATATGCTGGACCCTGAGGTTAGGAAGACAGATTCTGGAACAGAAAGTTACTGTGTGTCCAGATAAATATGTAAAAAAAAAAAGAGAGACAGTGCTACCTATCCTATAAAGACATGTGTGGGAGTGACAGTCACCCATTTCCAGAGAGAGGCTGCCCCCGGGGAGGGAGGGAGGGAAGAGGGGGATGGGCAGGGCCTCACGGGTGTGGGTCCCGCACAACTGCTCGGGCCCCACATTCGGGGCCCTGCACTTGGGAGTTAATGCTCTGCTGTCGCTGTCTTGAAATGCTTGGTCATTTATCTATGAATTTGTGTTTTGTAAGTGAAGTTGATGGAACTTCAAAGAGGCACCTTTGTTGAACCCTGAGGGGTGGGTTCTCAGCTTTCCACTCCCCACTCTGGGCACCCCAGGCCCTGCCTGGTCTCCTCCGCCCTCATTCAAGGCCACTGCCACCCTCAGTTCCACCCTCCCCCAGACAGTGGAGGGGAGGGGCTTGTGCAAGAGGAGGCCAGGCCAGGTGCTGCACGCAAAAGCGTTTCGTCCTGAAGCAAGGGCAGGACTCGTAATCAGATGGAGTGGACAGCTGAGAGAAAGGAAGGAGTAAAGGGTGACTCCTAGGGTTCTCGGGGATGGTGACATCATTTGCCGAAGGGGAAAATAGGTGATCTTGATGGCTGAAGTAGATGCATGCCCCAGTGGGTGAAGAGGGACCTGCTTTGAGGGGCCCGGGTTGCTCCGTGTTTCCCTTTCACGAGGGGGTGGGGTGGGGCGTGACTGGGGCTGGCTGGGAGGGGTCATGGGAGGGGCTTTACCCAGAGCTCTGCCAGGACATCAAAACCTCCCGCCGCCTTCCCCGCCCCTTCTCTGGGCTCTGCCTCCTCCTCTCCAGATGGCCCACTGGGGTGCTGTGTGTTTACGTTTAGAAGGCACCCGGGTGGGGGGGAGACCAGGTCTGGCGGGAGAGTGGGGTGCGTCCGCATGGGCACTCACTGCGCCGGGGGAGATGGTGACCGGCCCCGGGAGCTCGAGGTCCGCGTCCTCGCACTTGCGGGGACTGTGGGCGCCGGACACGATGAGTCCGTGGACTGCGGCTCCCATCAGCGTCCCCGCCATCTCCATGGTGATCCCTGGGACACAGTGAGCGCTGCAGTGACCGGCTTGCGCCCAGCCCCCCGCCCCTGGCCGCACCCCCCCCCACACTCCCACCCACGCAGGCACTCACGGTATGCGGTGGCCGAGTCCCGCTCCTTGGCGCTGGGGGTCAGGAGCATGGTGAGCGCTGTGTAGGGCACCTGTAAGAACTGAGGGGCGGAGTTTAGATGGCCGCCCTCAGCCCACACCGCCAAAGTGGACAACCTGTCCCAGCCCACCCGGTGCCAGGCTGGCAGTCCCCACAGATGCCCTCAAGCCAGGAGGCAAGGGCTGAGGGGCCGGAGGTGGGAGGAGCTAAAGGTAAGGGCCCGGCACTGGTGAGCAGGTGCCCGCGATGGAACCCTCCTGAACACCTATCCCTGACACACACACTTCAGAGTGGCCACTGGCCAGGGATTGGCCAGTTCCAGGGGTCCAGGCCCAGGAAGGGGGGCCACCTGCTTACCGTGGCCAGGGCCTGGAATAGGCAGTAGAAGGTCATGTACCAAAGGCCTCGAAGGCTGGTGAAGGGGGGCAGGAACCACGAGAAGAAGTAAGCCACGGCGATGAAGGGCGTGCAGCCCAGCACCCTGTGGGGACGCAGTGGAGACAGAATGGCCACCGCACCAGGAGTGGGGGCATGAGAGGGCGAGCCTGGGGCAACCTCACCCCTCTGCCCCTGGACTAGCCCTGGACTGAGACTCTGGGTGGGAGCCACGGACATGGAGGGCTGATGGGACATGGAGGAAGCCAGGAGTGAGGGCTGGAACTCTGGTTGGGACCCTTGCATGCTTGGTGGTACCGTTCCATGTGTCAAGGACCCTGAGCACAGGAGTTGTGCCTACTCTGGGAGACCTTCCAGGGCCTCCAGCCCGCCCTGGCCACACTTAGACCTCTGGGCCAGGCCCGGGAGTCTTGGAGGCTTTGTCCAGCCCTGAGCCAGATGGTGAGGGAAAGTCTCCAAGGATGTCTCTGCACTGCATGACTGGGTCTGTCCCAGTCTCGTGCTGTCACCTACTGTCGGTCCCATCACCTGCTATCTTGGTTTGTCCTCTAACCATCCACAGGGTTTTCTACTAAGAAGCAGGGCTGTGACAGACACAGTGCCCTCGGACTGTGGGCAGGTGCCAGACCTGAAGGACCAGGGGGCTGCTCACCAGGGCATGAGTCGTCCAGACCCTGTCCTCCTGCTTCTGTTAATGAGGAACCCGGCCACAGGGTCAGCAGCTGCCCCAGACACCTTCCCTCCAAACAGCACGAGTGACACCTGGGCGGCGGGGATCTGAGATGGACAGGGGAGGAGAGAGCCACGCACTGGCAGAGTTGGAGAGGCCGTCCGGGCCTGCCCGTGCACCAGGATGGCGAGCTGGCAACCTGGCTGGGGCCAGAGGCACAGTGGGACGTCTCTCCGGCCTCCTGGCCAGGATGCTACCCTCAAGGGCTCCCAGGGCACCTCTGCACTAGCGAAGAAAGGGCGAGGGAGGGAGCTGACGGCAGCACGTCGGCGCATGCCCAGTCCCTTTGGAGAAGACACGGGGGACCCTCATCTGAGGTGGCCCAGTGCAAGAAGGGTGCACCCAGGGTGACAGTCTAGACTTTCTGTCTCATACTGGAAGTGTTTTATTGATTTTCTGGTTACACAAATGATACACTCACTATAAAAACATTCAAGCAGTACAGAAAAACGTGGAGCAAAGCTCATCTGAAACCCCACCATCCTGAGACAACTTCCAGACGCATTTTGATGATCATCCTTTCATGCATTTAGGTGCATTTGCAACTTATAATCTTCTATAAATGCAACCGTATCAGTGTCATATAAAAAAGTCATTAATACCTCATTAAAAATTTCTTTTTAGCTCACTCTCTGTCCTCCACCATTGCCTCGTATAGCCAACATTAACAGCCTGGAGTGATTTTCTGTGCACTTTCTCCATGCATTTTTAATCATACCAACTCATACACACACACTATACTCATGTACACACGTGTATGGGGCATGTCTTTGTTTTACTAACACGGGATCATTTTACATACTCTTCCCTAAGACTATCTTTTCTCCAGGCCCAGGAAGGGGGGCCACCTGCTTACCGTGGCCCCCCTTGGCAGTGCATTGTGGAAATCCCTCCAAATCAACTGCTATAGATCTACCACCTTCTTTAAATGGCTACATAAGTGTCCACTCTATGGAGATATTACAAGCTATTACCCAACTGCTTCTGTATTGTTGGGTATTCACATTGTTTCCCATTTTCCACTACAAACAGGCTGCAATGAACACCCTTGAGGAGGTTGCCCTCCACAGCTTAGGTCGAAAGTGCTATCTGGGAAGGGTGGTGGGGGTGGAAGGACCAGAGGCCACGGAAGATGGGAATAGGGGGTCCTGGGCTGATGCCCACACTTACCTGTGCCACATCTAGCAGGAAGAGCTGCAGGTAAAAGGCTGTGGCACTGGAGGCCACCTGGTTGGGGACCCCGCCAATGCCATAGCACACCTTCGTACAGAACGAGAGGCCACCAGCTCTGCTGTCCTGGGGGAGACAGAGGAGCTAAGCCCCACCCTCACAGACACACAGCAGCCCCCACACGCCCCTGGCTTCCAGAAGCATCCTGAGTCCCCAGGTCTCCAGGGCTTTTCCTGCAACCTCTCAGTCCTAATTTGCCCCAAATCATCTTAAAGGGAAGTGAAACAGAAAAAAGAAAAAAAAAATCCTGAGACATGACCTCTAAGCTTTTCCAGGGGGAAGTTCCTCCCTGTATTTCCCCCTCAGTGCTTCCTGCTTCAGTGTTGTCTGGGTCAGCAAGCCTGAGTGAACGAGGGGTCAGGGGGCCCCCAACTTCGCCACCAGGTCCCTGCGTGACCTTGAATAAAGCCACTTTCTCTCACTAAGCCTTCGAATGGAGAAGTCCTGCCAGCTTCACAGGGTTGGTTTTCCTTTTTTTAAGATTTTTTGTTTTTAGAGAGAGGGAGAGGTGGTGCATCAATGGGTCGCCTCTGGTAAGTGCCCTGGGAGGAATGGAACCCAGGACCATGTGCTTTGTGGGCTGACGCCCCAGCAACTGAGCCCCACCGGCCAGGGCTGGCTGCACAGGGCTGCTTCCAAGAGCAGAGGGGGAGCTGGTTCTGGGAGCAGATTGCTGGACGTTCAGGACTTTTGCAGCCAGGCATTGAAAGACTAGCACCCTGAAAACAGCCACGGTGAGAGTATGTACACCCCTGAAATCAGCCAACATTACAAATCAGAGCCCCCGATCCCCAGACTGTTTACCAGCCTACCGCTGAAACAAAGTAATGTTTATGATCCCAAATATGTGTGTGTGTGTGTGTGTGTGTGTGTGTGTATCACAATCCCTAAGCTACCCAGCGGACCCCAGACTCAAATATGCAACTGCCTCCTCACACCCCTATGTGGTCGACTAACATGCGTCTCATCTCGGCAGGGTCAACACACAGCTTGATTCCCATTCCATCCCATTGTTTCAACTGACTCCTCACCCTGTTGTCCCCATTGCATTAAGGGACCCCAATGTCTACTCAGCAGCTCAGGCCACAGACCCAGGAGTCCCCCTCACTCCCCCTTTCCCGAGCCCCCCGTCTAATCTGTCCATGAGAGCCTGCTTAGTGGCTCCCCTGCTTCTGCTCTCGGCCCGTACCATCCACTCTCCATCCAGCAGCCAAAGTGATCTTTTCCTAACAGTTAGGTGGCATCTCCTCTCTGCCTAAAACCCTCCCATAGCTTGCCAGTGAACTCTGAGGAAAACTCCAAGTCCTGCCCTGGCTGAGTAGCTCAGTCGCTTAGAGCGTTGTCCTGGTGCGCCAAGGTTGCAGGTTCGATCCCCAGTCCGGGCACACATGAGAATCAACCAACGACTGCACAAGTAAGTGGAACAGCAAATTAGTGGATCTCTTTCTCCCTGCCCTTCTTTTTGCTCTCTCTAAAAATCAAAAACAAACAAAAAGCCCTCCCAGTCCTCACCATACAGCCCGCAAGAGCCCCCCCAGCCTGCCCCCATTCCCACCTCACTTCAGACAGCTCTCCTCTACCACGGGATCTCCCTTCCAAGTCCTCAAAATGGCCAAGCCTGCCGCTGCCTCAGGGCCTTTGCACTTCCTGTTCCTTCTGTCTGAGAGGCTCTTTCTCCAGGTCCTTGCCGAGCTGACCCCTTGTCACTCACGTTTAAGCCTAAGGGTCATCTTCTCAGGGTGGCCTTCCCTGGCCACCCAAGTCTCTCTTTCAGTTGTGCTTACCAACTGACGTGCTCTTACTTGTCTCCTGCCTGTCTTCATCAGAAGACACGTCATTTGAGAGCATGACCCATGTATTTGGCACCGTGTGTCCCCAGTGCCTAGAACAGTGCTTGATACACAGTAAAGCTCAGCATGTATTTACTGAAAGAACAAATGCCATGAAGACGCTGCGTAAGGTGTCCTTTCTCTGAAAGATGCTGGGAATTCTTTCTCATCTGTGCGTGGGGGTGGGGGTGGGGGAGTGGACAGGATGTGGCTTCACCCACTTTGGTATCTTGCCCGACACCCAGAGGGACTCTTTCGAAGGGAAGGTCTCCCCAGATAAGGGTTTATCGTATCCTCTGCACACTCTTCCTACACACAGAAGAAAACCACACGCGAAACAGGACGTGGTCTCCTTTTCTGACATTGTGCGAACATTATTTCAACTTCCAGAAGACCTTTGACAATAGGCAGAATCCACCAGGATAGCCCTCCTGCCCCGCCCCATCATGGGGTTCTTATTTCCCCCGAAATGTGCTTAGCAAGTTTCTGGCACACAGAAGGCACTTGAAGGATAGGGGGGAAAATTCCAGCTTACACTAGGTCTATGATAATAACGATCTTGGAATCTTGACGGTTTCATGTGCTTGAATTAGATGCCCTTCACAGTTGGCTGTGCACAAGTTTTAGTGTTAGACACACTTGAATCCAAATTCTGCACCTGCCTTTTCCAGCTGTGCGACCCAGGCCAGGTCGCCTGACGTGGCTGCCTCAGTGTCCTCTCATGTTAAGTGGAGATAATACAACCTCATGGGGTTGTTAAGAGAATTAAATGTCAGCAATTCGTTGGCCATGTTAGTTTCCCCTCTTGCTGTTCATCTCGCCCTGAATTTCTAAATGTCACTGGAAAATGCGAGTCCTCGGAGAGACTCTGCATTGAATTTTGTTTCTGGAGGGCCACAGTCCTTCGCTCTGAGGTGCTCTTGCTTCGCAGCAGAGGCCGTAGGAAGTTGAGCGGGCGGCGCAGTGAAGCCACAGAGGATGAACAGGTCTCCTCCAAGCCCACGGGATCTTACATTCAGCGGACACCGACTCCAGCACCCCCACCCTTGAGACATGGGTCCCAGCGCCACCAGCCCTGCGTTCCACCTGCCCTCCAACATCACGCTGGGGCCTGGCAGCCAGGAAGGACATCTCTGGGGACGATCTCCCGGAGGAGAGCCTGGCGCCTGGACAAGCAAGGCCAGGGTTTGAGAAGGTGGGGACGGGGAAGGCAGGCCGCCCCCCGCAGGCACCCCTGCGAGATCCCTCTGGGAAGGTCTGGAGGGTGGCGGGCGAGAGCCCCCGGATGGGAATCAGGAGGCCAGAGACAGGCCCTGGGTCTGCCTGGCTACTTGAAGGAACCAGCTAGTGACTCCCTCGCCTAGGACTCCGTTCCGCATGCTGTTCTCCTCCCGGCTCCCGAGTATCCTCAGCTCCCAGGGCTCTCAAGTGGCAAACCCCACTAGGGGCAGTTCAGGTGGAGGACCCTGCAAGGCTGACAAAGGGCTTCGACCCGACTCCCTCAAGGCCCCTGGGACCCCTCTGCCCCCGCGCCCCCCCCACCCGACGGGCTACTCCCAGCTCCCCTGTGGCGCCCGCTTTTTCTGAGCTCACCGAGCCGGGCTCCAGGGCTTGTGCTTCCCCCGCGGGCACCGGCACCTCGTCCGCAGGGGTCTGGGTCCCTCCGGCGGAAGCCGCCATCCCGCACAGCCGCAGCGCCCGCGACCCCGGGGCTATCTGCACGCGGGGAGGGCGGATCCCTCGTGGAGAGGGCGCGGCGAGGGGGTGGGGGGTGGGCCGGCTGGGGAAAGGCCAGAAACCAGGAAGCTGTGAAAGTTTTTTTCCCCAAAGGGAAAAACACCTAGAGAGCAAATTCACTGGGGGGAGAAGTCCCTGGGGGCCGTTTTCCTTGGGGGGTCCGCCAGGCAGTGAGAACCGGAGGCAGTGGGAGCTCAACTCTTACGCCAAATCCTCGTGGGTGAAAGTCAGCAAGGAAGTTTATTTGAAAAAACGAAGCAATAGAATTGACTTGTTTAGATTAAGATTATGGCTGAGCAGGTTTGTAAACTGCTAAATTTGATATCGGATGCCCGCAATATACGTTTTCCTGCCTCCTACAAAACAGGGGTGTGGCCCCGTAAGCTCTGGCCAGCAAAGGAAGGCCAGAGGTACACAATTTCCCAGATAGGTCCTTAGAAAGAAAGGGGTTACATTGTACACGCAACTCAAGGGAAAAATGTATCACTGACCTAAGTGCAAGGGCTAAAACTAAAAACCTCTTGGAAGAAACCAGCAGCTAATCTTCATAAGCATGAGTTACATAATTCTTTTTCGGATGGGACACCACAAACCCAAACGGACTATACATCGAAACGAAAAACTTTGGGCTGCATGCCAACCAAGTGAAAAGATGACCCACAAAATGGAATATTTGCAAATCATAAGGACTTGTATTGGACCATATAAATAGCTCTTCCAATTCAGTAACAAGACAAATAACCCAATTTAGGAATGAGCGAAGGATTTTGATATTTCTCCAAATTGTAGACACAAAAAGACGCTCGTGTCATTAGGTAAATGTAAAACTTCAGGCTACCACTCCAGGTGGACGGCTCTTCTCGGAAAGACAGACAAGTGTTGGGGAGGATGTGCAGAAATCCGACGTTGCTGCTGGTGGGAGTGGGAAGTAGGGCAGGCACTTGGGGAAACTGGCAGTTCTTCAAAGGTTAACTGTGCAATTAGCATATGACCCAGCAATACCATTCTAAGTATATAATCCAGAGAAATGAAAACATGTTCACACAAGAACGTCCACAGCAACATTTTTTACAGCAGCCAGAATGTGGAAATGACGCAGCTGTCCATCAGGGGTAGATGAGCAAGGGTGGTAGGTGTTTCCATACGACGACTACTATGCAGCAGCAAAAGTACATGGATAAAGCCTGAAAACATTAAGCGAAAGGACACCAGCCCTGGCTGATGTGGCTCAGGTGGTTAGGTATTGTCCCACAAACCGGAAGTTGGAGTATTCAATTCCCAGTCAGGGCACATGCCTGGGTTGTGAGCTCTGAGCCTGGGGGGGCACGGGGGCGTGGGGGGGGGCGGTCCAGGCTTGTGCAGGAGGCCATGGACCCATGGTGCTCTACCGCTTTCTCCCCCCTCTTCCCTCTCTCTAGAATCAATATAACGCTTTTTAAAAATAAATGAATAAAAAGGAAAGACACTCGTCACAGAAGACCACGTGGTGTGTGATTCCACTGACCTGAAATGTCCAGAATAGGTCAGTGCAGGAATAGATTACAGATTTGCGGTTGCCTAGAACTGGGGGTGGAGAATGACTGTTCATGGGTGGGGAGCTTCTTGTAGAAGCAATGAACATGTCCTAACATTAGACTGAGTGATGGCTGCACAATCCTGTGAATACACTGAACACTCTGATCGGGTGAGTCGTAAGGTATGTGCATCACATCCCAGTGAGGTGTCTTTTTTGTCTGTCTGCCTGCCTGTCTGTTTGTAAAGGGCAGGAGTGTGCTTCTTCCTACTGGGTGAAATGCCGATGTGATCGTGAGACCTCGAGCTGTTACACGCCGAGACTGGCAGGTCAACGACACAGGAGTCTGGGAGCCTCCAGTGTCCGCTACTTAGTCTAGTGCAAGTCATTCCTTCTATTTCCTACACTTCAGTTCTTTTTTAAAATTGAGGTACAACTGACAATTAACATTATATTAGTTTCAGGTGTACAACCTGATTCCATATTTGTATATATCGTGAAATAGCCTTCAATTCTTTAATATACGAAATGAGTACCTTCCGTTCCCTTGACTGCAGCCCTGTCAGCAGTGGAAGCATAATGAGTTCATGAATGTGCTAAATATTTAATTTCTTGAAAATTAAACATAAACTGTTTAGACACATAATATGCTTTTAATGAAAACGTTTTATATGCATTTTCAGCAGGTCTGGCAACACTTCATTCCCAGTATTTGGACTTGGTTGTACATCATACTACAATTTTCATTTTGAACTGGGTAAAAAAAAAAATCCCTCCTTCTTTCTGTTGCACAAAAATGTAATTAATATAAAGGGCATTTGTTCCTAACAGCTATTCTTGTACTTAAAGTAGTGGCATGTACCTAATGCAATTTCCTGTTAAAAACAAGTATGTTAGATTTCAAAAATTAGCAGTATAATAACCGAAAAGTCTGTTTTTTAATTAAAACAAAACTAAAGATTGATATACTTAAAAATATCTGAAAGGATGCACATCAAAATGTTGTCTGTGGTTATCTTGAGTGGTGGAATAATAAGTGATTTAAAGATCATTTAAGCATATCTGCATTTTATAATTTTCTACAATGTGTATGAATTACCTGTGCAAAAATACATTTAAAGCAAACAGTCAAATACGAGTCTATTGAATAAAGCACTGCTGTTGGAATATTTACTTTGATGAACAATTTTTTAATTAAATGGTTTGCACTTAGACAAAGAACACATGAGTAAACCCTACCATGGAGTCTTCACGCTAGTTCAACTCAGGTCACAAAGGGTGGTGTAAAAAATAAACACAACCACCGAGTTAGTATTAAAAATATCACATTCTAACATCTCTGAGTATTAAGCAAAAGTAACATTGGTCAAAATACCTGGCAAACAGAAGGCACCCAATAAATATTTGTAGATTCTCAAACTGAACGAGTTTGCCAAATAAAAATGACAAATGCACCTGCATGTAACTATTTTAGACCAAACAAGTATAAATTATTTCACAGATCCTTTAATAAACAGTATTTCACCCTTAAGACAACAGTTCTTTAACCATTACTAAAGGATTGCTTTCAAAGTATTTTAAGGCACTAAAATAGATGCATAAATACCATATTTTCAGCACAATGAAATGTAGTAAAAAGTATTCTGAATGACAGAAGTATATAAAATAACTAAGATCACTTTTATAACCTGGATTATACATAGTAATTTAACTAATACATGAGAATCTCAAAATTAGAAATGTATGTTTATGTATCGGCCCTAACAGTGATTTTCAAGAAACTGAAAACCATTTTAAACTACTTAGTTCAAATTATATTTCACACCTAAGGTGTTTATTTTCCATTTTGCTTTCCCTTGATTAAATTCAGTTTATGTTTTCTAAAATCAACATGTTTTGAATATTCGATACATTTAATGAACAACTTTACAATGGGCAACTGATTTCAGGTAAAAAGCTTCATCCGATGATTCTAATTTTAGAAAACCTCTGAGGATAGTATTCACATCAACGAACGTTTCTGCAGGTAACAAAGATGAAGGCTATTGCTGGTGGCAGGTCTTTCCCTACTGAACTTCTCACTGGGGGGTATTCTACATGGACGCACGGGCGAACCTCCCATGTGTCTTCTGGCTACATAATCATAAACTGGAACCCCAAGAAAGAGGCTTTCCTATAGGTGTAAGGCAAACATTTCCCATGAGAGGACCCTTTACAGAAATATATGGAGAATCACACAATGACTACAATCATGCAAGTAGAAATTATAAAACGCTTCACGATAGGCCTATATGAAACATTTCTTTTACATACTCTTGGAAATATATTAATAATCATCTTAATGTTACTTTAAATGAAAGAGAAGTTCATGGATTTTACTGTCCCCTCATTATTTTTAAAAATGTCATTATTTTTGTTTTATTGGAGAGATGGCTCTACCACAAATGTAAATGTCACTGGTAATATTTTTCAATTACGTGCCTGTTCATTTCTGAGAGTAAGTAACAAAAGGAAAAGGCTTTCCTTTATCCTCCTTCTCTTCCTAATAAAAAGATAGGCCTCTGCCGTCCCGAAGGCTGGGAGCTAGAAAGAAAGCACTCTTCAGGTGGACCTCACACAGAAGATGTGTCTTACGGAGCAGGTCCTCTAGTTCTGTGTGAGCACAGCCCTTCTGTTACCCCTGAGCCTTTAAGAAAAAGCTCATGTAAATGTTCCAGCCTTGTCTCATCTGTGCTTTTAGAAGATAAAGTATAGGTTTACACCATGATTAGTTCAGAGTCAAAGGGGAACGGGTCTAAGAACAAACTGGCGGACGAAGATAAAACCTGGAGGACGGGCAGCCCCATTTCAGGGGGGGGCGGGTCTTCCAGGGTCCGTGGTGACACAGGGCGTTGTTTTCTTAGGGGGGTGGGGAGGCTTTCGTGCAGGGTTTCCTGGAGGCCCATTCCTCCACTCCGTACCGAAGAATCAAAGGAGATGAAAAATGCAGAGGTCTGGGATTCGTCCCAGATCCGATGAGTCAGAGTGTCCGCGGTGAGAAGCGGGAATAGGCATTTTGAACAGCTTCCCAAGCGATTCTTACGCTAGGGCCTGAGAATCACTGCTCTGTGAGAATGGCTCTTTCAGGGGTCCACAAGGTCAGAGCTATTTTCACAGTCACACTAAGACGTTATTTGTTTGCTCATCTTCTCATGAACGTACAGTAGCGCTTCCTGGAGGCCACGCGATGTGTGATCTCGGAACAGACTCAACGCAGAAGCAGACACAGGAGTCCATCTGTCTTCTTTACATCAGACAGGAAAGACATTTGCAAAAACAGAATACAATGCCACTTTTCTCGCTAAATCTTTTTAGTTTTGTTTTTGGAAAATAGACTTTTTTCATAATAATGTTTATATTAACACATTTATTACTTTTAAAGGAATAAATATTTGATAACAATTTTTAATATATTTATAACCCACACCCACAAAAGGTCTTGGGACCAAAACGTTTGAGAATTCCTCTCCCCGGCAGAGACCCGGCGCCCTGTGACCACCGCTGCTGACCGGCGCAGCAGCGGCTGCTTAGTTCCTTGGCGCACTAAAGGGATTCTTCACCTTAAATGTGATTTGACACATCGTTTGCAAAAAAGCTTCCTAAACTTAGCTTTGGGGCAAGGGAATTTAATCCAACAGTGAAATAGTGGAAGTCTAGCCAGTTTTAAAGTCTAAGAAAAAAGGGTGTTTTCCCTGGTGATATCAAAATGTAATAAATGACCCTCTGATGCATACACAGGTTGACTCTAATGTACAGAACAGAAAAACTACACAGTACATGATGAATTTAAAAATACTAACTAGCAATGTGACAACACCACATTAGGTTCTAAGTAGCTCAAACAAATGACTTACTCCACATGGAAGCTAAGAACAAGCCTCTCGTTTTTGAAGGAAAATAAAATAGGGGATAAACTGGGGTTCTTGGAGAGAAAAAGGATTTTTAAAAAATTACATTTCTCAAGAATGTAGAAATGTGAGTAGGCGGATCAATACTGACATTTTTACTAAGCTACAGATTTTTATTCTTACATGAAAAAACATCTTGGGTACGATTGTCAGGTGAACATCTTACCATCAGAGAATTCGAACGAGAACATGCCGAGGCTCAGGCACAGGTGCAGTGAGAGCGACACCTTCCAGCCTTCTGACTGCGTCTCAGGTGTGACGTAACCACACGGATGCTTTCCACCCGCCATGTGTGACTTCTAATGTACGGCCATGTAAAAATTTGGAGACAGCTAACACTTAAATAAATCACTGCTGTTCGGGGATGATCTTTAAATGGATGATACTGTGAACACATCTGCTGATCTGTACCACATTAAGATACTAAATGACACAGTCTTTTCAGATATCTTACGTTGGTCACTGGTATTTAAAAATAAGTATATTTTTCTGAGTAGCCTTCGGAAGACAGTGCCCTGAATATGGTTTCCAGCCACAGTTTACTCTCCTCACTTGCACTTACTTGAAAATCTTCTCATCCGGAAGGAAAGAAACGGGACTCGAACCCACAGTCCAGCAAACCCAACTCTGCCCCATTCTGGTTTGCAGGTCCACGTATCACTGTCATTTCTCTGCAAACTTTCCACTTAAAGTGTTTCAAAAATCAATGTTATGAGAGTTCTCTGAAAGGTTCGGTGGTTTTCTGGAGTCTCTGAATGATGACAGCATTCTGTAAACGGGCTTCTTCCAGCGTGAGTGTCTCATCTAGAGATCTGAGGAAAGGAAGAGCAGTCGCCAGGGAAAAGGGAGGGCTTCTCGGAGATCCTTGGTACTTTTCAATGAAGTCTTTGATGTGGCTTATCCTGTAAAACGGCACAAACTATTAACACACTTTTATGAAAACCTGAACTAGCGAATTTAAAGTCGTGACTTGTGAAGATATCTGCCTGTGTTATCACATAGAACATGCAAATTATAATGACAGAACTGATCATTTGGGCTTTCAAAGCTTGGCCCGTGGTGATAGTAAGGAATTACTATTCATTATCTCAGGTGTGACAAGGGTGTGATGGTTACATTTTCAGAGAGTGTCTTTTAGAGATACATACTGAAATATTTACATATGAAACTGCATGAAGTCTGGGATTTGCTTAAAAATAGTTCAGTGGAAACCAAGTGATAAATCATTATCTTCTCTTTTATGTATCTCAAAGTTTCTGTAATAGAAACTTGGCGTGTCTACAAAGCTAGCTCTGAATGGAGCAGAAATGGTCCAACTGGTGACCCTACACAGACAGGCACGTTTCTCTTAAAACCCAGCCCATGCTGTGCCTCAGGTCCAAGGAGGAAGATCCTTACCAGAGCGCGTGGGATCGGAGTACAGTGAACACTGTGTAAAACAGTGACTGCAGTCTTGAAGGTAGCTCCAACTTACATTCACCTAAGAGTGTGTGTGTGTTTGTACGGGGAGAGCACGCATGTGGTTCGTTAAAACTAAGATGCCGCTGATTTTAAGACACATCATTTTATGTATTATTAAAAAATCCAGACTATGACAAAATATTCTTGTAACACAGGAGTTCATTTTGTATTTATTGAAAGAGCACCTTTACCCTAATTTCATAGAAACATTTATCCAATCGCCCATGTGCTTCGTCGAATAAAATGGTTAAGTCATTCTTAATACTGGAATGTCGTCATTCAGACTCGGGTCCTCGGAAGCACTTTAGATCCCGTCATTCATGCACATGTTTTTCCGCCTGGTACCCGCCCTCTGAATCATCAGTTGTGTTGGTGATACAGAATCTCTTTCAGAAACTGCTCTAGTACTGTTCCTGGAATGCTTTTTGTTCACCTGACACCTGTTTGCAGGCTTTGAGGCAGAGACTAAGGCAGAGACAACTGTGGCATGATTGCCACGTGGCCAGCAATGGGTGCGTCCCCGAGGCAAGGATGTGAAAATGGGAACAATGGTGCAACTCAGAATGAATGAAGCACGGCACGTTGCAAAAGCCAAAATTCTCCCATTCAATCAGTTCACTAAAACTCACAAACTGCCACTCGAATAAACCTGTGCGGTCACCAAAAAGGGCTAGGACATGGTTCCTGTGCGTTTATTTGAGTACCAAAAACTGGATAACTAAAGGCTATTTATGGCAAACCATATGCACATAAGAAGTAAGAAGACGGTAAGGATTAAAGGAACTGTGCAGGAAAAATTACAAATGTATACTATGATCTCTACAATCACATTAAGATAATAAAAAATGCAGATCTTAAAAGCTGTAAGAGGGTAAACACATACCTGTAAAGCTCAAAAGGAAGCAACAAGAAGGAATACAGAACAGTAAGACACGGGATAAGGAGGAAACAAAGAGCAAGAAGGTCGTGTTAAACCCACTAGTTCAGGACACTGCATGTACTATAAGAAGTGGACTAAACATTCCAATTTCAAAACAAAACCCTGATTAATCATCACTTAATATATACTGTTGGCCAATCAAAGTTTTTTAAATGCTTTAGCCACTTGGGGAAAAGGAATCCAGGTGACTACTTGTGATGGGTAATGCCAGAAGTATGTTTTGAGCTAGGTGGTACCCACGTGCTTATTTTATTATTGTTTTAACTATGTATATATGCGGTCTGTCCGGGAAAAGTCCAGCCATTGTTAACATAATGAGAATGATTTGCACGACATCAATGTAACTGGCAGCTAGGGAGAGTGGACTGGAATGCGCATGTGTGAACAATGACGACTTCACTGTACTAGTCAGTGGAGGTGGTAGACTCTGGCAAGTGAGCATGTGCACTGTGTGGCCGTGGCATTCAAAATAACCAAGTGAGTGGAGCAGTGAATCTGGATCAAAATTTGCATTAAGCTTGTACATCCCTCCAGGTAAACTATTCGGTTGATTCAGAAGGCCGCAGCTATGGGCAACTGGTAACTGGCAGCTTCATCACGACAACGCACTCACTCATGTACCACCTCTCAGATAGAGGGTTTTTAAAAAAAATATTTAAAAAATATTGTATTTATTTATTTTTAGAGAGAGGGGAAAGGAGGGATAAAGAGAGGGAAAGAAACACTGAAGTGAGAGAAACATCAGTTGGTTGCCTCTTACATGGATTAGCTGCCTCTTGTGTACTGGCCTGCAACCCAGGCACATGCCCTGACTGGGAATCAAACTGGTGACCTTTTGGTTCTCAGGCTGACGCTCTCCACTGAACCACACCAGCCAGGGCATCGTGTAGAGTGTTCTGGTGAAACATCACATCACCCAGGTGACTCAACCCCCCTATGGCCCAGATTTGGCACCCTGTGACCTCTGGCTTTTCCCAAAACTAAAGTCACCTTTGAAAGGGAAGAGATTTCAGACCATTGTTGAGGTTCAGGAAAATACAACAGGGCAGCTGATGGCGACCGGGAGAACTGCGTGAGGCCAAGGTGCCGACTTTGAAGGGACTGAGGCATCCTTGTCCTATGTACAGTGTTTCTTATATCTTATTTTTCTTCAATAAATGTCTCTATTTTTCATAGTACATGGCTGGATTCTTTCTGGACAGACCTCATATATTTTTTGATCATCTGTATAATACTCCCCCCAGAACTTTTAAATGTTTTTAAATAAAGGCAACCTATATATACAATGTTCCTAGTTTTCATCAAAATAAAGAAAAATTAAAAAGGCATAAACAACTGGAAAAATTCACCAAACTGATAATAGTGATTATCTTTGGGTGATGGATTTAATTTGACTTTAATTTCTTTCAATACTTTTCTGTATTTTGATTCTTCTTCTACAATTAACAGAAAGATATATATGTAATGCTAATGACTGATTTTTAAAAACATTAAAAAGAATTCTTTTAAATTTACATATCTAGCCCTGACTGGTGTGGCTCAGTGGATTGAGCACTAGCCTGTAAACCAAAGGGTCACCTGTTCGATTCCCAGTCAGGGCACATGCCTGGGTTGCGGGCCAGGTCCCCAGTACAGGGTGCATGAGAGGCAACCACACACCGATGTTTCTCTCCCTCTTTTCCCCTTCCTTCCCTTCTCCAAAAATAAATACGTAAAATCTTTTAAAAAAATTTTCTTATTTCTTTATTTTTAGAGAGGGGAAGGGAGGGAGAAAGAGAGAGAAAAATATCAATGTGTGGTTGCCTCTCACATGGCCCCCACTGGGGACATGGCCTGCAACCCAGGCATGTGCCCTGGCTGGGAACTGAACCAGCAACCCTTTGGGCTGCAGTCAGCACTCAATCCACTGAGCTACACCAGCCAGGCCATAAATACATAAAATCTTTTAAAAAAAGAAATAAAATAATGTATCCAGTTAAATCGGAAAATTATTCAAATGAAATGAGAATCCATAAAACAGACTGAAAATACTTCATTAATGCCTAAGAATTTCTATTGTCATGATAAATTATGTTTTGAGAACTGTTTATTAAGATGCTTGGTTAATTAAAATGACTCTTGAGTGAATTAAATGAAAGAAGTAAAAATTAAAATTAGGAAAAAAAACAGAGACAATGAAATGAAAGACTCACCTATGAGACATGTTAAATTTCTGAACAATCCTTTTCCCGCTGGCTAGCCAGATCTGTACACTAGTGATGGGTTCCTGGTGGTTTAGTGGGACAAGAGACAAATTATTTTTCTTCTCAACTTCAATACTTTTTGCTTTAGAAATAATTTTTGGTGTGGCACTAAAAAAAAATCCAGACAACAAAGTCAGGTGCATGGTTTTTTTTCACTAAGCAAAGCTTTATTGTTAGCAATTACTATAAACACTTTACATGAAGTATAGCTTTTGGGAATATTTCAGTGAGTCACACTGTTTCCTCAATAATAATGTAAAGATATTAATGCTATTATGTCTATTATATATGATTATAGAAATCTAATAAAATTATGCCTATCCAAGTAATTTGTAGGCATATAGAAAATGCTATGTAAATATATTGTTAGTACATATTTGAATAATTTGGACTTTACCCACTCCAGATTAAAATTTCTAAAAAATTATAAATTCTCTATAGAGATTAGTCCTTGGTAAAAGAAAGGAAACAGGCCTGGCTGGTGTGGCTCAGTGAACTGAGTGCCGGCCTGCAATCCAAAAGGGTCACCGGTTTGATTTCCAGTCAGGGCACATGCCTGGGTTGTGGGCCAGGTCCCCAGTTGGGCAAGTGAGAGGCAACCGATCAATGTATCTCTTGCATATTGATGTTTCCCTCCCTCTCTTTCTCCCTCCCTTCCCCTCTCTCTAAAAATAAATAAATAAAATCTTTTAAAAAAAGAAACAAAGTATTTTCTGATCGTTCTGAAAGTCACATCCAGATACTTTTATATATGTAGATGAATCTGTATATACCTTACCAATCTGGATATTATATGAGAATTCATAAAAATAAAAGTGATCCCACATCTGACCTCCTTGCATATTCTGTCATAATACATAATGATATAATGACATCATGAAGACTGCAAATTCTGAAAATAATGAAAGGTTTTAATACTGCAAACATCTGGAAGAAAGTGACTAACACTGTTTACCTCTTTGAACATATTTATTACTGGACGATAAAGCTTATTTTCATTAACAGAAATAAATAATTTTAAAAATGCAGGTCTTGATGCTGACACCAACTGTAGCAGGCACTTTTCATGTTATTACCTCCAAGTCCAGACACGGGATACAGGACACGACGCTGAAAGCAGTGGTGAGCGCAGGGTGGAGGGAGGCCTGCGTCCCAAAGCCAGCACGGGCACCCCGGCTTTCACGGCCGAGCTCGTGCGGTGGGTGTGAGGGGGAGGAAATGCTTCATGCGTCCAGTCTGGCCTAAAGCCCTCAAGGAGCCAGGCCCTACAGATCTGATGACGTCAAACAAGCCTCCCAGGTATTTTTATTGTCGTGCCAGCGTGTGTGCATTTACACGAGCGTAAATACGACTTAGAGGGGTCCTCACAAAAGTCAACGCGAGAAACGTTATTTCCAGCGGGGGAGGCGATGGACCCCGTGTTTGTGGTCTGCCTGGGAAAATAACGCTGGGCTGAGTATCAGCCAAACCCCTGCTTCCGGGCGGCACGGGCCAGCAGCCCACTCACCTCCCCAGGCGGTGGCCTCGCCCCGAGAAGGGCTGGAACACGGGCTTCGTGGACACACACACTTCGTGTTTCTTATCCTCGACTTTCACGTCCACCTCCTCTTTATCGAAAGTCCCCTCCAACTCTGAAGGCAGTTCCCTTGGGAGGGAAAGAAGCAAAGTGACAAAGTTCGCAGGGTGCTTTTCCTTCCTCTGAAAAACACACTCTATGTGCACAACGAACTGGAAAACTCACAGAAATAAAACAAACTCTTTACAATAAAAAACTGAATGCATTTCATTTACATGATAGTTAAATAGTACGAGTACCAAAAACCAGGAAGGACAACATGGAATGATTTTTAAGACTACAAAGTCATGAACAGCTTGAGTTACTCAGCAGTACCTAGAATAGTGCGAAAGTCATGAGATATTTGATGACCACATGCTGCTAAATTTAAACAATTTGATCATTTTTACAGGTGTCTGACTAAGGCTAAAAAATGTACTAGAAAAATCAAGCTCTCATTTTAATTTTTAAATAAAAGTATAGATTTACTCTGGAAATAACAAATAAAAATAAAATGTGAAACACGTTAAACTTTTTTAAAACTGTTTTCCCATGTCACCCCCCTATAACAGAGAGGTTAAAGTAACACAGGTCTGCACTCAGCCCCGGGCCTGGCCCAGCACACCGCTGGCCCCTCCTGTGTCACTGGAGCACCTTGCAACCCCAAGGGCAGTGCCTGGGGCACCGCGGGAGTGGGGCAGAGAGCTGTTGAATCCTATGATCTGTTAGGGGCACTGGAAAGTTTCACAGGGAAGTTTTTAACAAATGATGAATCTTAAACTTTTACAAAATAATTGATTTTTTTCTGACATCTGAAATAATACAAATTTATTTACTATGTGCTTATGAGTTACGTACTTTTCTGTGTGTCATACTTCAAATTTTTAAATTTAAGAATAAACAATACATGCATGTTCTAAAAAATAATGCATAAGAAATGTAAACACATATCAACTTGAAAGTGATAGTCCTTATAGTACCGTTCTTACTGTAATAAAAACTTTGATGTTTTTTCTCCATACAGTTATACATATATATATATATATATTGCTGTGGATGGTATCAATCTACACAGACCACCTGCAAGCTGCTTTTTTAAAGCGCTACACCACTGAAATCTTCCCGTGTCAGCATACAGATATACATCATTCATTTTTACCAAATGCACACTACTGTTCTGTATTACAGTAGATCAGATGGTGTAAACACATATTCTTTCCACCTTTTCCTACTGATTTGTAAGCACTGTGTATGTAGTCCATTTACATGGCACATATGTGTTTTTAATATTTACATAACCAAATTTATCCATCTTTCTTATATTGCTTCTGGAATTCATGCCAAGTATAGCCATATGCAACACCATGGATGAATATCCCACTGAAGTAAGCTGAGCAGACACAAAAAATAAAATAAACACATTACATTTACATAAAGTTCAAAAACAGGTAAAATGAGGGGAAGGGAGGGAGAAAGAGAGGGAGAGAAACATCAGTGTGTGGTTGCCTCTCTCACACCCTCTACTGGGGACCTGGCCCACAACCCAGGCATGTGCCCTGACTGGGAATGGAACTGGCGACCCTTTGGTTCTCAGGCCGGTGCTCAATCCACTGAGCCACACCAGCCAGGGCCAAATAACCAATTTTAAGCATAGGCAAAGAAAGAAAAAAAGGGACAAAGGACTTGGATAGATTTTTCATTGAAAGAAGGTATTCACGTGGCTAATAAGCACATGAAAAGATGCTCAACATCATTGGTTATTAGGGAAATGCAAATCAAAACCACAATAAGCTTCCACCTCATATTCACTAGGATGGTTATAATAGTAATTTTAAAAAGCCGACACTAACCCTAGCTGGTGTGGCTCAGTTGGTTGGGTGTCCTCCCACAAACCAAGGCTGTCGATTCCTGGTCAGGGCACATGCCTGGGTTGTGGGTTCAGTCCCCGTCCAGGTGTGTACGAAAGGCAACCCATCCGTGTTTCTCTCACATTGATGTTTCTCTCCTTCTCTACCTTCCCCTCCCTCTACAATCAATATGCATGTCCTCAGGTGAGGATTTTGAAAAAATCACCGGAAAACAGAACCAAACAAAAAACCTGACACTAACAAGAGGCAATGAAAAAATGAGAACTCTCGTACATTGTGGCTGGAAATGTGAAACGGCACTGTCACTTTGGAATACAGCTCGGGAGTTCCTCGTAAAGTTAAGCGCAGAGTTCACAACAATTCTGCCCGCAGACCTGAGAGAACGGAAACACATGCCCACACAAAGTTCACAGTAGCATTATTCATTAGAGTAGAAATGTGGAAACGGCCCAGATGTTTTTCCATTGGTAAATGGATAAACAAATGTGGTACCTGTGCAAGAGAAATCACAATTCAAAGACTATAAAGGTACTTATAAATATTAAACGTAGCAACTAGGACGTGGTATTAAGTAATTCTTGGCAAAGTAAACTCGTTTAGGTCAGATTTTGATTGATCAGAATTCAAATTCCTACACTTTTTATCAAAATTAAAACGGTGTCTCTCTTAAGAAAACCCATCCTATGAAAATCTAAATTTGTAAGTATCTATGAATGTGTAGGCATGTGTAAACAAGATTAAAAAGGATTCTTCCTAATGAAACAGCCCGAACATATCCTTCTATTTACAGACTGCTTACCCTTTTTTGATGGAGTTCAGAAACTGCTGACTTGCACCATCTGAATAGCTTCGGAAAGCGTCATTGACCGTGAATCCATTTTTCCATAATTTTATACTTACATCTACCTGGAAAGCAGTAAGAAACAAAATGCATCATGTTAATTAAAAATATACTTCTGGCCCTGGCTGGTGTGGCTCAGTGGATTGAGTGCCGGCCTGCAAACCAAAGGGTCACCAGTTTGATTCCCAGTTAGAGCACAGGCCTGGGTTGAGGGCCAGGTTCCCTGCAGGGGGCGTGGGAGAGGCAACCACACACTGATGTCTCTCTCCCTGTCCTTCTCCTTTCCTTCCCCTCTAAAAATAAAATAAGTAAAATCTTAAAAATTTATATGTATATACTTCTGTATATTATGGAAATGTTTTACATGCACTTCACATTCTGTCACGCAATATTCATAAGATGTGTACTGAAGGGTTGGGATTTACTAAAGCTTGTAATTTTTACTGCCTCATCGAGCACATTCTTGCTTGAAAGCAGTGTTTACTGTCTCCCTGCAAGTGCAAGCGAAGAACACGGGACCTACCAGGACCTGGAGTCCCTGCCTTGATTCCTTCTACAGTGCCAACGGCTTTACTCCCAACACCGCTCTCGCAGTGCCGGCGCCAAGTCAACACAGTGACAAGGGAATGACATCTTACTACTCTGACAACAGTTTTGACCTCACGGACCCGCTGACAGGTCCACCTTTTGAGAAACACTGGAAGAGAAAAAAGTGACGGGCATTTACCGGCTTCTTCTGCTCGCTGGGAGACAAGCGTTTGGCACCAACCTTCTGAGCCTCCTCAAAAAGGCTGTCAACAAAAGATTCACAAGTTGTTTGTCGGTTCTCACTAGCAGGCTGGCTGTCGGATCCTGTTTCACAACCCCTATATCCGCAAAAGAGAAAAATAAGCGTCACCGACTACCCGCGCTCTAAAAATCTACATGAATTGTTCCAGGTAAGGGGTCCTGAGCTGAGAGGCTGCGCACTGCTAAGTCCGCCATCTAGACCCTCTCCTCAGTGAAGGCATTGATGACAGATATGTGACCTTGGGAAGTCATGAACGCTTTTGGTGCACAGCAGGGTTTTCTCAAGTTCAGTCTTTGTTGTGCAGGCTGTCCTCCATGTTGTAGGATGTCCAGCAGCATCTGTGGCCTTGACTCAACAGATGTCAGTAGCATGCAATTCTTCCTCCCCCAAAGCGTGGTAGCAGCCAAATCCATCTCCGAGGGGTGTGTGTGTGTGTGTGTGTGTGTGTGTGTGTGCGTGCATGGGGGTAGGGGTATCTCACCAGGCTGAAAACCACTGGCCCAGAGTAAAAAAATGTGCTCTTTGTAAAAAGCTCAACCTGGCTTTCAAAGGGGCTGGGAGGAACTTTCTGGTGATAGAAAGCACTCTTGAAACTAAAGGTATTGAACCCCACCAGGAACTGTCACAGTCTCAGCTTTGAGACTTTACACATTTCGGAATGAGGTTTCCCACTAGACACTTCTGTTTCTGGTGGTTTAATACTCCACTCTGTTTTCTTTATTGAGGCATACCTGACATACAACATTGTATTAGTTTCAGCTGTACAAATACTAATTTGATATTTGTATAACCTGCAAAACAATCCCCGCAATACGTCTAGTTACCATCTGCCACGACACAGCGACGAGTGCTTTTGAGGCTGGACTTGCCAGCTTTCAAACGTGCGACACGGTATTAGCAACTACGGTCACCGTGCTGCCCTGCACGTCCCCGAGACTCATTCACAGGACACCTGCAGGTCTGTCCCTTCTGATTCCCTTCGCCCGTTTTGCTCACTTACGAATACTGGCTTTCATTCTGTATTTATATTATAAGAAATATTACCTAAGATTTCCTTGATGGCAAAAGTATTTCTGGCTGATCTTTTTTGAAACCATACAGATAGAAGGTTCATAAATGTTCTGAGATACACATTCTCTGACTCAGGAAATAATCAACACTTTGTATAGTTCTTGTACTATGCCAGGAACTACAGATACTCTTGCTACATTCTGTAAGTGAGAAAAAGGAGTCACGGACAGGTGAAGTTACGTGCCTGAGGTTACAGGTAGTAAGTAGCAGAAACAGAAGTTAAACCCTGTGAAAGTCTTCCAAGCTACGCTCCTAGCCATACTATGCTATTAAGCCTCTCTCAACAGCTAGCATTCACTGAGCATTTATTAATACATGTTGGGAACCATTCTAAGTACTTCACATGTGTTATCTCACTCAATCTCCACAAAGATCTAAAGGGCACGTATTGTTTTTATCCCCATTTAATAAATAAAAAGCTCAAGCAATTTGCCCGAGATCACAAAGCTATTGGGAGGTGGGGCTGGAAACTGAATCTAAGTCACCAATGCCTGTGCTCTTAATCACTGCGCTAGACTCTCTCTCGAAACAGCCATTATTACATTGTTGTCAAATTGCTGACAGGGCAGTATTTTAAGTGCGTCCTTTCTACTCTCCTAATAATTCTGGATCTACTCCTAAGACACTCCGTATTAGCATAAGGTACTAACCACTTTTTCCAAGATACTGACTGACTTCTATTCAAAAATAATCGCACCCTAAGACCACTGCTCACAATACGAATGACTCTCCCCTTTCTTTAACAGTAGAGCTGTGTGTCAGTAGAGGACACGGTCTAAAAGCTCAGGCTTTGGTGTTTGCTTAGGTGACTTCACTAGGGTCACATTGATTTTGGGCAAGAAACTTAGCCTCTATGTGATCTGGCTTCCTCCTCTGTAAGATGCAGCTACTTCCACCCGTCTCACATGGTTGTGAAGGTTAAGTGCAAAGCTATATACGGCCTATGCCTGGTCTGCAGTATGGACCAGTACATATACCGGCACACAGTAAGTGCTTAAATATTAGGTAATATTAACACTACTTTATTATTTTCTAATATACCATCTTTATTATATTTTTTCCATTACCATTTAGTCCCCTTGTACCCCTCTCCCCCCAAGCAATCACTTTATGCATTACAGTTTTTAATTATTCTTCTGTTCAGAAAGCAGTTTGTACTTAATTACTAATTACTAAGTAGTTAGCCAATAAAGCTGTGAGCATCCAGAGTAGCTGAAGTTTTATTCCTTTATCATATGTATTTGGTAGATAAATTCTACTGAAATTCATTATGTTATTTCAAATCATTTCAAACACTTATTCAGTACTTACTACATGATAGGTGGTAGGGAGATAGAAAGACAAATAAGAAATAGTCTAGGTTTTTGTCCTGGCTGGTGTGGTTCAGTGGATTGAATGCCAGCCTGCAAACTGAAAGGTCACTGGTTTGATTCCCAGTCAGGGTACATGCCTGGGTTGCAGGCCAGGTCACCACTTGGGGGCATGCAAGAGGCAACCACTCAATTTATTTCTTATACCTCAATGTTTCTCTTCCTCTCTTTTTCCTTCCCTTCCCCTCTCTCTAAAAAATAAACAAATAAAAATTTAGGCCTGGCTGGTGTGGCTCAGTGGATTGAGTGCTAGACTGTGAGCCAAAGGGTCACCAGTTTGATTCCCAGTCGGGACACATGTCTGGGTTGAGGGCTGGGTCCTTGGTGGGGAGTACGCGGGAGGCAACCACACATTGATGTTTCTTTCCCTCCCTTCCTTTCTCTCTAAAAATAAATAAATAAAATCTTTTAAAAAATTTTAAAAAGGAAAAGCATGATACTAAGTGCTTAAAAAGAAAAAATAGTCTAGGTTTTTAAAAGGTTCAGAACACAGGGCATAGAGACACATTGTAAATAGCTCTATGCTCACAAACTTGATAACTGAGACAAAATGGCACAATCTCACATAAGGATAAATAGATAATATGGATAGGCCTACATCTATTAAAGAAATTGAATCAATAATTAATCATCTTCCAAAACAGAGAGCACCAGGCATGAATGATTTCACTGGTGAATTCTATCAAACATTTAAGGAAGAAATACCAATTCTCTACAATCTCTTCCAGAAAATAAAAGCAGAAGGGAACACTCCTAACTCATTCTATAGGGACAGCATTACCCTAGTACTAAAGCCAAATAAACATAAGGAAGGAAAACTACAGATATCATCTCTCATGAAAAATAAATGACAAAATATTGGCATTGTAAATCCAACAGTATGTTTAAAAGAATCCTACACCACGGCCAAGTAGGATTTATCCCAGGTATGTAAGGCTGGTTCAACACCAGAAAACCAATGCATGTCATCCATCACGTCAACACACTAAAGAAGAAAAATCACAAGATCTTAACAACAGATGCAGAAAAAGCCTCTGCCAATCCATTCATGATAAAAAAACAAAAAACAAAAAAAAAAACAAAACTCTCAGCAAGTTAGGAACAGCTAAGGACTCCTGACAAAGGAGTCCTGACTAAGGACTCAACCTGACAAAGAACATCTATAAAAACCCTCCAGGTCATGTTACATCTAACGGTGAGAAACTGGACACTCTCCCCCTCAGACCAGGAACAAGAGAGGATGTCCTTTCCCACCGCTCCACGTCGATGCCATACTGGAGATCCCAGCTGAACCAATAAGACAAGGAAAGGAAATAAAAAGTATACAGAGCAGGAAGTAAGAAATAAAATGATCTTTGCTTGCTGATGACATGACTGTCTACACAGAAAATTACAGAAAATAAATAGCAAAAAACTCTTGGGACTAATAAGCAATTATAGCAAGGTTGAGCAATACAAGATTAATATACAAAAAGCAAGTGCTTTCCCATATACCAGCAATTAACAATTGGCATATAGAATTAAAAACAATACCATATATATTAGCACCACTTGTCAAACTCCACAGAACTACACAATCCAAAGAGTGAACCCAAATGTAAACTATGTTAATAACAATGTATCAACACTGGTTCCCAGTTGTAACAATTACACCACAGTACTATAAAATGTTAATAGTAGAGTAAACTCTGTGTGTGTGTGTGTGTGTGTGTGTGTGTGTGTGTGTGTGTGTTGTGGGGGAACTGGACGACTTCTGCTCAATTTTTTTATAAATGTAAAACTACTCTTAAAAATAAACTTTATTAATAATACAGTCATTTTAAAAGAGCATGAAAGACACTCCTGGATATAGAGGAAGAGAGGTGGAAAGTACACCACATTTAATATTTCTTTATAATTCAGGAAGTCCCTTTGTATTTTACTATATTAAGCTATAATATATGGACTGCATATGGACTTTCCTTAATACTAAATATGTCCCGAAAGCTTCATTATTCCATCTTTGTCTACCACCCTGTCAGCCTTTTCCTTACTTGTCACTATCATTTTATGATTCAAATATCAATACTGCTCTTCATAATCTGGAAACCAGATTACCAAGGGGTTGTGGCTAAGTAAATAGTCTTGAGGTCTCAGGAGTTTCTCTAGTAACAAAAAGCACGCCAGTTTCAGGAAAGGGACTTTGGGACACCTGTTTTGCTCACTTTCTCATTCACCACTGTGCTCCGTGTGAAAGGTTTTCAGAGAGCTGCTGTCCAAACAGGTGAAGGACTTACACCTGCGTATGCTTCGGCAGCACATATGATTGATACGGATTTCCACCACTTATCGTCTTTGAACAACTGATACACTTAGAAAATCAGTCTTCTTTTCATGTTTTACCAAACTGCTGCTTCTAACAAAACCTACTGTTGTTACAAAGAAAATTAGGAACTCTGCTGCTGATATCTGTGTAGACGCCGTACTAATCATTTAATTATATTCAAAATACAGACCCAGGCTACAACAGAGATGAAGCTTAGAAACATCATGCTAAGTGAATGACATCGGTCACAAAACATCACACATTACACGATTCCGTTTCTATGAAATGCCCAGCACAGGCAGACCTAGAGGGACAGAATTCGCGTAGGGGCTCTCAGGGACAGGGTGCAGGGGTACACCCTGAGGCGTCCTCAGGGTGGGGCGGCCAGTGGGTGCGGGGTTTCTCTTCGGGGTGGCGACTGTGTCATAAAACCGACTGTGCTGGTGGTCGCTCAGCTTTGTGAACGTAGCAAATACCACCGAATCCAATGCTTTACATGCGTGAATCCTCTGGTACATGAGTTAGGTCTCAGTAGAACTGTTTTCAAAATCCTCCGTTAATTTTAGTCTTTCAAATCAGTCATTCGACTTGTGTCTGGGTAGAAGGACTTAACAGAGCGGGCCCAACTGCTGTCCTTTCAAAGGCCTGCGCACCTGCTTCGTGAGAGTCTGGAACTGTAGTTTGTGACTCGCCCCCAATAAAGAGCCTGGGCTCGTTTTCAGTGACCTTTCCTGGCAGATAGCATTTCGCATGTGTTGTCATAACTTAATACTGGGGGAATTAAGTGTGTCCCAGGTGACTCCACTGGGCGACGACTCTTGGAAGCTTGTGCCTGGTTTCTCCTGGACTGTGTCCTGTGAGCTTTTCCCTTTGCTGCTTTTGCTTTGGGTTCTTCCATTGTAATAAATCATAGCCATTAGTATGATTCTATGCTGTGAATCCTTTGGGCAAATCATCAAACCTGGCAGAGGTCTTAGAGACCCCTGACACAATCTCACAACTACATTGTTAATATCACATATACATACAACCATAAACACTTTAGTGAAAACAACAACAAATGTTTGGTACAGAAGCATTTACAAAGTATTTGTAAGTGTGAAATAAATACTTTTCTGTCTCCTTAAATGAACTATGAATGAAAGAAATTTACCTCAAGGATTTAAAACAAAGCATAATATTCAATACAAAATATACTTCACCTCAGATGGGTGAGAATAAAGTAATCTATATTGATAACAGCCATAGATTTTTGTACCTAACATTTATTGACAACCTTCTATATGCTAATACTAAGCTAAGTGCTTTATATTGGCTATCTAATCCCCCTGAAAATCTTTCAGGGGCTTAGGTATAGCCCCAGTTTATAGATGAGATATTTAAACTCAAATAATCTACCTAAACTGCACAAAGGCCAGACAGGTAGAGTAAGACAGAGATGAAATTCAACCTCGGTATCTCTGACTCCAAAATCATTATATTTCCACTGTGACTCTAACACGAGAGGCTAATGAAGTAGTTGCTTGAATTTCTCACTTATATGACAGGAGTAATATGTGAACAGAGACAAAGTTAACAAAGTGGTTTTTTTTTTTTTTTACCAAAGAAGAATGTGTTTATTTCACTTAAATTCTTAAAAAATAGTCTTTGGCAACTGTCTCATAAACTGTCCTAACAATTTTTTTTAAAATTAATAGTAAGATTTAGTGACTTCACTAAGATCCATTCAATGTACTGATGGTAAAAAAAAATTACTTTTCAATATATTACTAATAGGTATTTAACTGAGATCATCATAATGAACACTCACTATCCCAGTCAGTGAAATGCAGAACAAACAGGAAAAGATACTAACAAAGACATTAACAACAAAGAAATTTCATAGACTGAATTAACTTACCATTCTTCTTTTATACTTTCAAGATTATCTACTTCTTTCATTCTCTTCTGCCTTGCTGTAACGGCAAAAATAAACAAGAGCTAAAGTTGCAAATCTGTTATTTTCAATACATTCATTCCTCTGTGTGCATTAATATTCTTCACCATAAGTTATTCTGTATCCCTAAGGTAGCACTAAAGGGGACTTAAGAACACGTAACCAAACTCAAAGCTGTCACTAGGCTATACAGTAAAACGACTATGTTTTCAAGTTACTTGAAGTAATTTCTGTGTGGTGTTACCACCAACTTGACAGTCAGTTCAGTTAATTTGTTTCTTAAGCATGCAAAACATTTATATTGTCCCCGAGTGGACCTAAAACACAAGATACATTCAGAGATATTCACCTTCCATCCTTGTCCCCTCCACCCAGTCCTCTCTCTCCCAGCTTATGGGTAACATTACTTTTTGTGTTTTTTCCTAACATAAACAAATATCTATATCTACATCCATCTCTATCTTAGACAAAGAGCAACAGCACGACATGTGCTATGTGAAGTCAAACACGGTCAATAGTGTGAGCTGCCTGCTTAGAGCAAAATTAGAGTTGTCCGTTGTCAAAATTCAAGTTAGGAACAATCAGGTCTATTTGATCTAATCTGGAATGTCCGATTATTTACCCAAGGGAAACACAACCAAACTGACTGTGGAGAGAAAGAAAAAAGAAGTCAATGACAATTTAATGTTTTAAAATTAAATAAGCTTAAAAAAATACTAGAGTGCAATGCCTTAATAAGTCTGTATGTTGGTCACCCGCATACCACATTACAACTTCTTTGTATATGTGCCTAAAACAATACAGTTTTACTGATTTGAGAGAGAGAGAGAGGGAGAGAGAGAGAGAGAGATAGGGGGAGAGACAGAGAACAAGAGGGAAACATCAATTTATTGTTCCACTAAATTATGCATTCATTGGTTGATTCTTGTATGTGACCTGGCTGGGGATTGAACCCCCAACCTTGGCATATGGGGATTATGCTCTAACCAACTCAGCTACCTGGCCAGGACCAAAACAATATAATTAAGAATATGTTATTACTAGGTCATGACAGATTGATTATAACATCAAGGTCCCAGAGACTATACTACAGATTTAAAACGGATGAAAAACACTTTACCCAAAAGGAGACATAATCAAGCCAGATTCCTACAAAGCATTAAAAACATTTCAACTCCCAAACAGATTATAGCAAAGAAAAATGTTTTTCTTACATTCTCCCTGGAGAGTACCTATACAAAAAGCAAATACAGTACCACTATTTAAAAATGTAAGTTTTAAGCATATTTAAATGGAAAGCAGACATCAGTCATAGCTCCTGGAGGTCCACCAGACCCATCCCGCAGCAAAGAGAACCAGAAGAAAATGAGCACCAGAAGTAGTCTACTGGCCCGCTGGGAAGTCTCCAAAGGATCTGGAGGGGAAGGTGGCCCACACAACTGAGCACCCAGTGGCAGCCTTTCACCGGGTGATGTCAGAGTCGGATGCATTTTAGGTTCTGACTTCCGTTTCCCACTGCTAAGGGAGCCGGCTCCACCACCCTCGGATTAAGAGGGTGCGGTGCGCGGTGCGAGCACTGATTCCCTGGTAGCCTGTTCTGCTAGGAACTGAAGTAGAACAGTGGAGTCTGCTCTGGAAAATGTCTTTGAAAAATGTTTTAAATACCTCTATTGTTTTCATTATGACTTGAATATAAACTCATAGTGAACTTATTTCTTAGCCTATGCAGGAGGAAATTGTGGGAAGTTCTGAGAAACTAGGTGAAACAGACAGGAAGGAAAAAGGAGGCAATTCAAAGGGGCAGAGGAGTGAGTACAGGTCGGGACGGCACCTGCCACAGCATTCCCAGCGGTAATTTCAGACTCTACCTCTTAGTCCGAGGGTAAAGCCACACTATCCCTTTAAACTAGGTACCTATGGTACTTTGATAAAGTTATGTAGTTGAAAAAAAACAGAATTTTGTGTTCACTAACATTTTCTCCTAAGACTTTGTCCTTGAAATCTCATCATTTCTAAAATCAGTTTTTAAACATATATTTTTAGTGATTCCAGACAGAGAGAGAGAGAGAAAAACACCGATCGATGGCCTCCCACACACACCTGACCACACTGCAATGCTGGCATGTGCCCTGACAGGAATCGAACCCACGACCTTTTGGTTTATTTGGCGATACTCCAACCAACTGGGCCACACCAGCTGGGGCTCTAAAACTATTTAATTGCTTCCCTTTCCAACATATCCAAAAGAATAGAGAAAAATATAAACACCAACCATACCATTCAGATTCAGAAAAATTTGCATTTTGATTTACTTGCTTCTTTTTATTTAAGAAACAAAACATTGTAGCCCAGGCTGGTGTAGCTCAATGGACTGAGTGCTGGCCTGAAAACCAAACAGTGGCCGGTTCCATTCCTAGTCAGGGCACATGCCTGAGCTGCAGATCAGATCCCCAGGTGGGGGTGTGCAAGAGGCAACCACACACTGATATTTCTCTCCCTTTCTTTCTCCCTCCCTTCCCCTCTCTCTAAAAATAAATAAATAAAATCTTTTAAAAAATTATAGACAGTTAAATACCACTTAATATTTAAAAATATTTAATATGCCCTGGCTGGTGTAGCTCAGTGGATTGAGTGTGGGCTGTGAGCCAAAGGGTCTCAGGTTTGATTCCCAGTTAGGGCACATGCCTGGGTTACCAGCCAGGTCCCCAGTGGGGGCCACTCGGGAGGCAACCACACATTGATGTTTCTCTCCCTCTCTTTCTCCCTCCCTTCCCGTCTCTAAAAATAAATAAATAAAATCTTAAAAAATATTTAATAGTACCTAATATTTAAATGAAACATGTAAAACAAAAATATTTAATACTAAATATTTATTAAATGGTATGTCTTAAATATGTGCATCTTATTGCACATTAATTATACCTGGGTAAAGTTTTCAAAAATGTTAAAAAGTATATTGGCAATGACTGTATGCCTGGAATGATTCTAGGTGCTCGGGGTACGTACTGAACAAAATGGACAAAGACCCCAGCCCTTGTGGACATTACATTTTGATGGTGCTGTTTGCTTTTTCACTGGACAGTTTTCCAACATTATTTGTAACTACTCTAAAACAATCCCTTAGTGTGGATATGATCCTTATTGTATCATAAATGTAACATTCATCCCACTTCTTGGCTCACATTGTGACTGTCCTTCTAGGCACTGAAATCCTAACTATCCTTCCAAGTCTCAACCCGAGATTCATTTCTACCATAAAGGTGAAATGCTAAACCCTTATGAATACTCCCCTCCTAGGCTGTTTTTTTTTTTAAAGATTTTATTTATTTATTTTTAGAGAGGGAAGGGAGGGAGAAAGAGAGAGAGAGAGAAACATCAATGTGCGGTTGCTGGGGGCCATGGCCTGCAACCCAGGCATGTGCCCGGACTGGGAATCGAACCAGCGATGCTTTGGTTTGCAGCCCGCGCTCAATCCGCTGAGCTACGCCAGCCAGGGCCTGAATATTCCCCTCCTAAAGCATGTATATTTTTGGTGTTTAAGTCATGCCTGATATTCTTGACTATTGTTTCCGTTGTGTCTTTTGGCCTCTCCACTGGAGCCAGATCCCCTAAGGAGGACAGGTATCACGACTTCCACTTGTCCTGTTTCCTCCACAGTGCACAGTGTGTGCGAAGTGAACAGCAGCCACCCTTCAAGCACTCCTCTCTGTTTCCTACTGGTAGGTTACTGTTCTCGAGCAAGGGGCAATACTAACGTTTTTCATCATTTCACAGTTACAGGCTGGTGATATACTGTTCTGCTTGTTTTATGACAGCAAAAGAGAATGAAGAGTCCTCGGCTTCAAACTGACTTGCACCGGAGTACCCGCTGCATCGTATTGGAGCCGGATGACCTCAAACATGTTATTTACCTTCGCTAAGCCCCGGCTTCTAACCTGTGACCTGGAGACAGTCACCCTCCTCACAAGGCTGTCGTGAGGACTGGAGGAGATACAGAAAATACGGTGTTACGCTCCTTCCTCTTTTCCCGCCCCTCTGTTCCAACCTCTGTTCCAAGGGTTGGTAAGAAACAACTCTAGACTTAGTCTTAAAAGTTTGAATTTTGACCAGGCTATGAAAGTTTACTTTTGATGTCATTAATTAAACTTTTAAAAACACTTACATACTTACTGAACCTCTTACTACTGTCTACAAGGCGCTGGTTTAGAATCTCTGATAGAAGGATCAACAGGACAGCCAGAGTCTCTATCATCACCAGCAAGTTTACAGACTAACAAGGAAAAATGTACTAAATTACTGATCGCGAACATGGCGTAGAAGTAAAAACTGGTTCTAACATGGCTGTAAAGTCCCCATCACTTTAGGTGTTTTCTATCATAAATTAGTACCATGTAAATGAACCACGTAAAATGTATGTGCATTGAGTGACCTCCCCAATCATCACAGTCACGTGGCACGAATGAGCCTCGGTCGTGTCCTGTACAGCAGAGAATAAAAGAGCCGCCTGACAAATATCTAAGCTGCCAGCATGAGGTGGGCCTCAGATTGGGCAGAGGCAAAGTTTCTTCATTTTGCCTCCAATCAGTACCACTACCGTCTTACATTTGTACTGCACATCAGAGTTGACCAAACACCCTCTCGAATATTATCCCACTTACTACCAGCGACTACAGAGCTAAAGTGATCAGTCAGGAGACAGAGGAGACTGAGCTTTTTGGAGCATAGCCACTAAAAAGAAAATCCAGTCAAAATAGATTTAGTCTTTTCAACGTATACATTGGGAAAATTTGCATGCTACCAATTTTATTTTTCTAAACAGACACTTTTTTTTTAAAGAAGAATTTGAATCCCAGTATTATAACACTGGGTATGCTATCTTTATGCAGAAGTTGCAGTTTATCTTTAAAAATGAAGCCATTCCTGGCACCGAACATGAGGGAAAAGAAACCAATGGATCACATTTCCACGTGAGGCTCCTTCACTTAGATCTTCTGTAGGACAGAATTAGGCCTCCAGAGCAACTTATAGTAGCATCAGAATCAGAAGCTTTAAGAAAGTTTATTTGAATATTTTATGAATTCTAATTTGCTAACTCTTAAGTGATAAAAAAAAATGAAACCTCTTAGAAAGTTTCAGCTTATCTGAGCTGTCTGTAATCACTAAAAAATACGTTAGTGTCTTCTACAAAAAATAGTGAATAGTGAGTTATAAGCTCCTAAGGACCACAACGACAGTGTCACAAGTAATTTAAATGAGAAAATCCTAAGGGAAAGGGGAAACTTCAGCAGAGATTTTCAAGGTCACTGGGTTAGCCATCCTTTGACACCAAGAACATTCTCATTCTAGGGTTCCTGACCTGTTACCTATTTTGCGAACTCATCTCAAATACAATCTCCTTTAGAAAAACTTGCCATGACTTCTCCAAAAGGTATGTATGAATACAGATTTACTAACAGCAAGGAGAGATCAGTTACATGCCCTGAGAATTTGCCTTACCTTCCCAGACACAGCCCTCATCTCTAGCCGGTTCCTCATATCCACTCATGTCCCCATCCAATCCGATTTCTACACAGATGTCAGGGTGATCTTTTTATGTGTGGTTTTTTTTTTAAGATTTTACTTATTTATATTTTTAGAGAGGGGAAGGGAGGAAGAAAGAGAGAGAGAGAAACATCAATGTGTGGTTGCCTCTCACATGGCCTCCACTGGGGACCTGGCCTGCAACCCAGGCATGTGCCCTGACTGAGAATGGAACCTGTGATGCTTTGTTTGCAGCCCGCACTCAATCCACTGAGCTACACCAGCCAGGGATCTGGGTGATCTTTTTAATTAAGGTACAAATTTGATTGTGGGACTTCCCTGCTTAAAACCCTTCCAAGAACTCTTACTGTTCTTCAAATAAAGTCCAAATCTGGATAATATTACAGGGGAGTTCACCATACTGTTCTCTCACTACGTTTGAGTGACTTGAAAAGTTCTCTATAAGTTTTTAAAAAGAAAAAGAAAAAAACTGGTCCCAAATCCTTAACACAGTTTAAGGGGCCCCGCCCCACATGGTTTCTCTGACCATAATCATACCCCACCTTTTGCTTTCTACATTCAATCCCATCGCTTTGACCTTTCAGTTCCCAAAATCTTCCCAAGCCTCTGTTCCTAGTTCCATTGCCTGGACCTTTGTTCCCTCCTTGGGGAGCCACCTTCACCTATTCCTATGCACCCATACCTCAGCCTGAAGATGACTTTCCTAGGAAAACCTTAACCGATTTCCCTGACTGGCACAAGTGCCTCCGCAAGCCCTTACTTGCTATCACAACACCCTACATTCTTCTTTTTTTAGCTGCTATCTCGGTTTGCTGGCATTTACTTGTGTGACAATTTGTTTCATATCCGTTTCCCCCAATGAGAATGTAAAGTCCTTAAAGGCAAAATCTGTGATGGTCGCCGTTGTATTGGCAACGGATGTAACCAGTGAAGTTAGACCATGGTCCTTTTGTTTGGCTGAGAAAGAATTCAGAGCCAGGGACTCTAATTACTAGAGAAAATTTATTCAGAACGTCGCAGAGGTAGAAGAAGTGAGCCCGCTGGGCTGCATGGACTCCCTGTGTTCCCATTTTGCCTGCTGCTAGGTCTTTTCCTAGGGCTTCCCACCCTGGTGACCTTCTGTACTTGGCCTGGCCTTCCTACTCTGCTCACACCTGTCTAACTGCTTACCATATCCCTATCATTAGCATTCAGTACACAGTAGGTACTAAAAATATTCAATGATGAATCAAGTAATTAACATTAAGTACAAAGTATGCGTGTCAAGTATTTACCACAGGGTGGGTATAGGAGTCAGTGGTCATAAGCAGTAGGGTCTGTTAATATCGTATTCTGTCTGCATCATTATTATTTGTGTGTTTCGTCACTCCCTTCATCCTGCACACAATTCTTACTCATTTTTGGATTCCACCAGCACTAGCGCTGTTACTGTTTTACACAGATGCTCAGTATTCACTGAATTAAATTGCATTTTCAGTCATTGTGGCTCTTAGCATATTTAGAGAGAAGATACACCACCAACTTTTAAAGTTTGTCCCACTAAAACTAAACTATAATTTAAAAACTTATAAACACTGCCAAAACACACTTGAGCCATGACTACGAAATAAGGAAGTGGATTTTCATGTTGCTTACACAATCTGACACACTTCACAGTTCCACATTAAGGTCGACACAGACGGTCAGTTTCCTAGCTTTATTTTCAATGATCTCAAATTACATGCGAAGGAACCAACATTGGACACCGCACTGACGTTCATTATTGCTGAGAAGCAATAAAATGTGAGTACAAAGAACTACACACACACACACACACACACACAAAGAAAAGAGAAAATAAGTATGAAAACGGCGAAGAACATCAAACCCGCAAAATAGATTGAGTTGTGGGAGGCTGGTAATGAAGTTAAAGGACGACGACTCAAAATAGATACGCCTTGGATGTCTGTACTATGCTTTTGCAGCGATCTCCTTTGGAAATCGGGGCGTTTTGACCGCACGCACCTAACTCGAAGTTCACGAGCGACTTCCGAGGGAAAAAACCACCGACGGGCTCCCAGGGAGTTCGCACTCGGGCCGCGAGCCGCGGGCAGCCGAGAGCCGCGGCGCACCTGGGCGGCGCAGGAGTCTCGCCCGGCCCCGCCGCCCGACGGCGCCCTTTCGAGATCGGTGGCGCGAGGGCGCGAACCCGGCAGAAATTGGCTCACCGAGACAAAGACCAGCGCGGCGGCGGCACTGCCCGACCCAACGACCCCCGCCGCCCAGCCCGGGAGACGCGGGCCCGAGCCCCGCACCCCGCCGATCGCGACGCGGCGCCAGGAAACTACCTCCGGGCGTGGCCGCTGGAGGGGGCCGCGCCTGCTGTCTCCTCCCGGCCTCGTCCACAATTCTCTCTAGGGCAGCGCGAGCAGCCGTCGCCGGACTGGAGCTCCTCAGCTGCGCAGCACCGGGGCCCGCGGGCCCTATGCGGATCCGGGGCCGCGCCTCTGGGACCCAGCCCGCCTCCCTCCGCGACCGCCGCCGAGCGCCGCGGCGCGCGCCCTGGCGGGCTCTGCGCATCCCCGAGAGCGCGCGTGGGGGCGGGGCAGGCGGCGGCGGTCGCGGCCGCGTCTGGCCTCGGCGTTCCGGACCACACCGCCGCCACCTGCTTCCTGCCGCCGCCCGGCTGCTGGGTGCCACTGCACTGTGCTCGGAAAAAGCCCGGAGCTAATTGTGGGTTCACCTGAGAACCCGGCGTCTCCATCCCGCTGCACTTCTTCAGACTTTGATGGAATCCGTGGAGAGATTTCCCTGCATGCTGACAAATGTTGAACTTGAACCCTGTGAATATAAAAATATTGAACTTGAACCTGAACCCTGAGATTCTGGAAAGCAAGGGTTTTAAAGAAATCCTTCCACTCCTTTGGGATTCTGAAAAGGTTACAGCAAAGGACCACCTTCCCCGTGTGATTTAGATGTGACTCCTGGATGCTCCCTTGTTTACCTATGGCAGACCCTTCAAATTCCCATTCTTTTGGCCTCATACGTGATTAGCTCAACTGATTGTACAAAATACCGGCTACCTTGACTTGACCAAACTTGTTAAGCTTCTCTCCTTCCTCCAGCCCCCTAAACTTTGACCCAGCCTCCACCTGAGCCAGCATACAATCCCTTCTTATTCACGGTTCCTGAAAATAGGCTGGCTTCCTGATCTGCAGTGAGATCACTGCCACCTCCACCGGTCCATCCCGCTTCCTCACAGCCAGTTCTTTCTTTTGGCCCCTGCTTCCTGTAAAAGAAATGCCCCACTGACCTGGGAGACCGTTGCGGATCTTGTGCATGGTCAGAGTCCCCTATAGCAAGAGTCACCCCGCCTCCCACAGCCTCCCATTGTGACAGTTCCTTTCTTTTTGGAATAATCTCCTACAATAAATTTTCTCTTTACCTAAAGCTAGGTGGGTTATTTTGTCTGTTTGTTTGTTTTTGACAGTTGAGTATTTACCCTACAGTAATTGTCCTCCTACCTTAGTTTAATGGAGTAGTCTCTTCCCCCTCCCCCACCATTGCAATAACATTTTCAAATAAAGTCTCATTTGTCTAAATTGGCATTTGTTTTTCACTTGACAGTTTTTAATGCTAGTATTCAAAATGAGGTTGGGCCTCCCCTACCGACCCCTGCCATGCCCACCCAGGTAAAGGCATCTCGTGAATATTTTAAATTCATCTTTTGTTTTGTGACTGATTCTGGGATCCTGTGGTGAGCTCTAATTTCAAATCAGTGCTCCTGAAATCCTGTCTGTTGTAGCCTACACTGAGGAGTTACTAGGATACTTCGATTTCTTTGAACAAAAGAGACTTTTCTTTGACCTTTATATGAGGCTTTTCCCTCCCTCCCTCCCTCCTTCCTTCCTTCTTTTCTTTCTTTCTCTTTCCCCTCCTTCCTTCCTTTCTCTTTTCCTTCTTTCTCCTTCCTTCCTTTTTTCTTTCTTCCTTCTTCCCTCTCTCCTTCCCTTCCTCTCTCCATTACCTTCCTTTCCTTTCTGCCCCAGCACCTTGTGATAGAGAGGATTCTTCCCTTGTCAAAAATCAATTGATCATAAATGTATTAGTTCATTTCTGGAATCAAAATTCGGTTTCATTTATTTAAAGATCTACTCTTATGTCAGTATCATTATGTTTTGAATACTATAGCTTTGTAGTAGGTTTTAAATTTAGGAAGTATGAGCCCTCCAACTTTCTTCTTCTTTTTCAAGATTGTTTTGGTTGTTCTGATAGAGTAGGCAGTTAGGCAGATTGAGCAGAGCAGGAATGGCAGGCCAAATATGGAATGTCACCAGGGAGGAAAGTCCCAGGTGCTTAGCATGTTGCTAGTCATGTGGTGTAGACCTCCTAAACTTTGATACCACTGCTCATACACTTTAGACCCTCTGACCTTTCATATTGCTACTAGTGTGGTTTAAACCCCCTTAGAGGAGAAACGAGGTGGGGGCAGAGAATAGTCTCCTATGAATCCCATGCAAACCCTTGCATGGCCACTGTCTTAAGTGTTAAGTCCTCAGGAAAAGTACATGAATACTGTACTGAAATCCTAGTCTTTGGAAAACAGATAAAATTCCTTAAGACAAAGGACCCAGTGCCTCCCCCACCCCTTCTCTCACAAGTCAGTGCCTTTTCCCTCTTTTCTTTTCTCAGGCACATTATCTTTTCTTTCTTTGTCCTGAGCTCCAAGCTCCACCCCCCCCCTTTTTTTTTTGTCTCTGTAACTTATTTCCTGAGCCCACACAGCACAGCTGGCTCACTTTTTCTACCGCAGTGACTTCTAAATAAATTTCTTATGCCAGAGTTCTTGGTTCTGAATTCTCTCTTGGCCAAACTCAAGGACTGAGGTCTAACTCCCCCATTAAAAATCCCAGGTACCTTGTGGTTAGGATCAGTGCTTCCATTCCTATAAAAGAAGGCCATTGGGATTTTGATAGGAATTGCATTGAATCCATACGTCAATTTGAGGAATATCAACATCTTAACAATGTTAGGTTTTTCCATCCATGAACATGGATGTCTTTCTATTTACTTAGGTCTTCTTTCATTTCTTTCAGCCCTGTCTTTTAGTCGTCAGTGCCCAAGTCCTATACCTTCTGATCCTAAGTATTTTATTCTTTTAGGTGCTGTTTTAATAAGAATTGCTTTCTTAATTTCCTTTTTAGATTTTTCATCATTAGACTATAGAAATACCACTAATGTTTATTTTTATATCCAGCATATTTGCTGAATTTATTTAGTAGCTTGAATAATTGCATGTTTTAAAACAGACTCTGTAGTATTGTGTACATATGAAGTCATGCTATCGATGTAAGACATGGCCAGACCTGCAGAGAATCTTTATGAGTTGACTTGAGCTAAACTGACAATTGCTGGGAAGCAAGATCCCAAGTGCTCTGCAGAATAGCAAGTTGTAGCTTCTTTTTTTTAATTAAAAAAAAAAAAGTTTAGCCCTGGCTGGTGTAGCTCAGTGGATTGAGTGTGGGCTGCGAAGCAATGGGTCGCCGGTTCAATTCCCAGTCAGGGCACATGCCTGGGTTGTGGGCCAGGTCCACAGTAGGGGCCCAGTGAGAGGCCACCACACACTGATGTTTCTCTCCCTCTCTTTCTTCACCCCTTTGCCTCTCTTTGAAAATAAATGAATAAAATCTTTAAAAATAAAAAAAGATTTTACTTATTTACTTTTAGAGGTGGGGAAAGGAAGGAAAGAAACATGACGTGCGAGAGAAGCAGTGATTGGTTACCTCTTTCACATCCCCAAACGTGGACCTGACCTGCAGACCAGGCATGTGCCCTGACTGGGAATTGAACTGGCAATCCTTTGGTCCACAGCCTGGCACTCAATCCACTGAGCCACACTGGCCAGGGCTCTTTTCTTGTAATTTTAAAAATTTATTTATTGATTTTGGAGAGAGAGAGAGTAAAAGGGAGAGTGGTGGGGGGGAGGTGGAGATATATATATAGAGGCAAACCAGCGCAATATCAGTTTGTTGCTCCACTCATTCATGCACTCACTGGTTACTTCTTGTGTGTGCCCTGACCAGGGATTGAACCCACAACCTCAACATATCAGGACAATGTTCTAACCACCTGAGATACCTGACCAGGACAAGTTGCATCTTCTTTTAAGCATCTGAAATTAAGGACAGAATTTAAGAAAGATTATAGAAAGGTAGGAGAAAGCAAGGCAGGTCACACTGTGGAAAACAAGCAACGCTTCCATATCTTTTTCAAGCCTTCCTTTCTCATGTCCATAATGCTTTCTTTGTCCACTTTGTGGTTCGAGATGCATCTCAGGAGTCATTACCTCTCAGAGGCTTTCCCTAACACCCCTGCTCATTCATTCTTTTTTAAAAAACATTTTAATCAATTGACTTTAGAGAAAGAGAGGAAGGTAAAAACATCATTTGTTGTCCTGCCTACCCAGGCACTCATTGGTTGACTGCTGTATGCGCCCTGACTGGGGATTGAATTTGCAACTTTGACACATCAGGACGATGTCAGCAAAGCTCCAACCAAACGAGCCACACAGCTAGGGCTCATTCTTTCTTCAAACATCCTGTTGCAGCTTACTGGTTCTTTGGGTGTCTCCTTCAATTCCTCCTTTTCTGTGAGCTTTTTGAGGGTGCAAACTATGTTGTTGTTGTCGTCGTTTTTTTTTTTTAAATCTCCCTCTTTCCCCGACCTGATACAGTACTTAACACTCCTTGGGTTTAGAGTAAATATTTGTTGTGAATGAATGGTATAGGTTATAGTAACCGAACTCATCACCTGGCTTTCTCAACTTAGGACAAAAGCAAACACAGAAACAAAACAAAGGAGGAAAGCACCCAAAAAGCCTTTCATGCTAATCTGCATACCATACACCTCTTCAGGTACTTTTCCTTTTTTTAAATAAAGCATTTATAGAAATAAAGTCAGAGAAAATATTTTTCAAAGAGTTGCTTCAGGAAGATCTCTCTTCCTTAGTAACTACAGAAGAGGGGCTTCCGAAGTCTTTCCTGATACCACAACTGCTGTCACAAAAATAAAGAATTAAGAAATAGGTCAGACTTTGGAGATCACAACAGTGCAGACAACACCGAGACAGGTCCCCAGAGAAAAACCTTCTGCTTCAGTGGGCCCTCACAGAGCATGTTCTCGGCTAAGGAGTTTTGAGGGATAGTAAGGGAAAAGCTCATCATACCCATTACGAAGAACTCAGTGCCAGGAAAAGACAGCCATGACCCCTTCTCCCTCTGCTCATAAACTACAAAGAGGAATACTGGCTGTTCTTGGTAGGGCTCAGTGTAAATAGTTGAGCCTAGGGACCACCCAGTGTAGGGCTGGGTGGCCAACTGGTGCTGGTACTGAGCAGGGGCCACACCGGCAGAAGTGAGGAGACTGGGCCTGACACTGACAGGGACCTGGTGCACCAGAGTGCTCGGGTGGGTGGTGTAGGCTGTAGCATGCCTTGAGGATCCTTCAGGATATTTCTATCATACTTAAAGCCAGTTTTATTTTTTCCCCCTGCTGGAAATGAAACTGTTCATTCTGTTCAATGATTATAGCTAAGTGATGCAGAAAAACCCAGGTCCATTGCCATTATGAGGTCTCCACATCCATGAGAGAACGATTTTAAGTGTGGTGCCTTGGGGAAGGTGTGGTATGTAAATTCGTTGAGAGGGATTTGTCAGCTTTCCTGGAATCCTCACTGTACACCAAACGGAAAAACTATGTCCATTCCCAGGGTCATTGGGAGCTTGGATGATTGGAATATGCTAACTCTGATGCAGTTTACCTATCTTTCCAGGACTTTTCACGAGTCTTCAAATTTTCTTAAGCATCGCAAACAGGAAGATCTTCTGCCCAATAAACAGTAGGCTTTCAATGACTAATGTACAGAATTTTTTTGAAATGAACATAATTCATACTTCACAGCAGAGCTTTTCATAGAAATCCTGTGTTACTCTTTTCCTTTGAAAGTCCAATCACATTTAAAATGTTTGCGTTCAGTTTTTGTATTAATTCTTGCGCGGGTGGGGGCGGCGGCGGCAGTGATAAAGGAGGCTCTCAGTAGGAAGAATTCAGTCTTTGTGACTCCGCCTTACATCTGGCTAGGGTTATCGAAAAAGATCCTGCCTTGCTTTGTTTAAAGACGCAGGGTTTTAGCATTTGTTCTTTTTCCAGCTTACTATGTGCCAGATACCGCACAGATCTATTTTATCACACTTGTCACTTTCCTCTTTACAGCCATGAAAAGTGTTACTCAAGTTCAGTGTCATGCCTTCGGTATCTGAGATTCCAAGTCAGGTCACAGCGACCTGGTCACGTTGTTGACGAGGTTCGCCTCCAAGCCCGGTTCCAGCTCCTTGCTCCGTCCGAGCCACCTGGGGGGATGGTGGGGATGCTGGGGTGCTCGGGCCTGCCAGAGTGTGAGAGCTCACCCAGTACGCCTTCGGGTATTTCCCATCCCCCTTCCTACCGTGCTAGCCCGACCGGGAAACCATAGAGTTGACAGAGTCCAGAGCGCCCCTTCCCTGGCCGCCGAGCCTGACGTAGGGCCGCTGGGCGGGGCCTATTGGAAGGGCGGGGGGAGAGGAGGGAGCAGCCGCCAAGGAAAAGGCTGGCTGGCCTCGCAGCGCCCCGCAGCGGCCACGGCCGGAAGCGGTCCTGTCGGCCCTGCGGCGCTGGAGCCCTGACGCACGGAGCTCAAGAGCGAGAACGGGAGAGAAAGGGGTAGAAATGGCGGCTCCGCTCGGCTCCCGCTGAGGAGGGCGAAGCCGGCGGAGGGTCTGAGTCGTCGGCCTGGCGCGTTGCTCCCGCCTCTCCTTACTTCCTCCTCACGCCGACTTCCCGTTCTCTGTCCTACTGTCGCCTGTCCTCGTCAGCGCTCCGCGGCGTCCGTGTGGGCTCGTCTCCCGGCCCGCCTCCACTGGCCCCGACTGCCCGGCCGGCGGGCCGGCCTTCCCCAGCTCTCCCGGGCGCGGCGGGCGCGGCGGGCGCGGCGGGCGCGGGGTAGACCCCGTCCTCCGGGCTCGACCATGGTGAACACCCGGAAGAGTTCTCTGCGCCTTCTCGGGTCCAAGTCGCCTGGGCCCGGGCCTGGGGCCGGAGCAGAACCTGGGACGACCGGAGGCAGCAGCCATTTCATCTCCTCTCGGACCCGCTCCTCCAAGACCCGCGCTGCCAGCTGCCCCGCCGCCAAGGCCGGGGGAAGTGGTGGCGCCGGCGTCGCTCTGGACGAGGCCCGGGTAAGAGCGCGGCGGCCCGAGTCCGGAGGCTTGCGAGCGGCGGCCCGGCCGCCGGGGCTTTGTCTGGCCGGGCTGGGGCAGGAAGCGTCCAGGGGACACCTCTCGGGCGGCTGCGGACCGGGTCTTGCGGGTGCGGTGGAGGATGGCACCCGGCTGGATAGGGCCGCGACAGCTTCGCCGGCCCGCCTCTTTTGTGTACAGAACAGCCCTGGAGTCCTGGGGAGAGGGCTCCGGGGGTGGGGGGTCCTCTCGGGGACTTGAGAACGGTCCGCTTCCCGTGCCCTTGTCCCGCCGTAGAGGAGAGCGCCGGGGGAGCCAGGGCTTCCCGGGCGGGAGTCCCCGGGCGGGAGGCCGGAGAAGTGAAAGTTTCCTGCGGTGTCAAACCCGTCCCGTGAGTGTGTGGGCTCCCGCCGGTTCCCTACTCCAGCTCGCTCTGCGGCTGTTCGCGGGCGGTTCTCGGGGGCGAGGCGGGGAGCGGGGAGCGCCGGCTGGCAGCCGGGCAGGGGTGCTGAGAAAAGTTTGCAGTTGCTCTGACACCAACTTTGAAAACGGAGTCAGCGCCGCCGCCTCGGCAGGCGGGAGAGATCAAACGCGGAGCTGCCGCGGGGGAGCCGGCCCGCCGGGGTTTGGTTAGGGACCTCGGCGGGCTTCCCGGGCGCCGCCGGGGCCGGGCGGGCGCGCGCACTCGGTGGTGGCGGGGGTCGTGCCGAACCGTGGGGTTTCCTCGAGGGCTCCACGGTGGTTATGTAACGCCGTCAGTGTCACACTGTCGCAAAAGTGACATTCGAACAAGGCCGCCGGTAGAGGTTTTTTTTTTTTAAGTGATTGAAATTGCAATGCACTGTAAAACTTCAAGTTAGCAATTATGTGTTGTCACTTTTGAGGAATTGGTAGGTCTGTGTTGCATGAGGTTGGTTGACTTCAGAAGAGGGTTTTGTTTGTGTTTGGGAAGAGGCTGATTTACCCAGGCTAATTCGGCTGGAGATGACAGTTCTTTTAAAATGCGCCTTCCAGTCCACACCATTTTGTTGTTATGCGAGGAAAGCAATATTTTGTTTTCTACAGGAGTCTACAAGTTCATGGTTTATGTGTGTCTTTTCTCTGTCTCAGCGACCTAGTTTACGTTGCTACTTTGGAGTATATTTACTGTGTCTTTGGAAACGCGTCTGACTTTTATTTTGCTAAAAATCTGGAAAATACTTTCAAAATTATGTTAATTTGGGGGCTTACAGATCTTTTAGGTTGAAATAGAGCCAAATCTGAAAGTTGTGCAAACTGTTCAGAGTGATTATTCTGAAAAGTTAGGCTTTCTGTAGAAATTATTCCAAGCATGCACAAGCTTATTGACTTTCTGAAGCTGACACATAGTTTAAGATGAAAGTGAGTTTTTAAGGGAGGTCTGTCATCTCCACTTGGGGGCGGGTAAAGCGTTCAGAGGGTGGGCGTTTGCTCGTGCCGCGTGCAGAGCGGGCCCCTGGGCTGCGGCAGCGACTCGCCGGGCGCCGGGAGCTGGCCCGGCGCTGCCCGGCTCGTGGTCCCACTCCTGCCTCGTGGTCCCACTGCTGCCTCGTGGATGGATGTCGTGCCGCCCCTGCCTCCTGGGGAAGGAGGTGAGGTAATTTGTCAGGCAGCTGTTAGGGAGATGTTAAAAGGCAAGGAATCAATAATCTAACGTAGAAATGGACATTTGGTAGCTCTTAAATTGCTGGAAGAACGAAAGAGATTAAAGCTCTTTCCAGAAGGATGCTAATGAAACTTTGTTTGGAGGATCCTTTTAAAGTGGCTTGAAAGACCATAAATAACAGGCTAATGAAGATTTACTTTGACATATTTGTTTTTCGGTTTTAAGCTTTGGATCCTGGCTGTGGTAGATGATGGGATGATCTAATTGCTTTCTCTGAGACATTTAATAATCCTGTGTTGTGTGTGAGCAGTCCTTTAGAAGAGGGTGTTGTAATTCTGACTTTTTAAAGTTTATGGATTGCATATTTATGAAGCAGGTTGTACATTTCTGAGGTGGGTTGATTTGAGTCTGGTAAGCTCTTCCTCCCAAGTTAGTTTTCTGGCGCGAGAATTGAGCCCTCGTGGTTTACCCTTTCTGGAACAGTGTTCCAAGGCTCCCTCTGTGTCCGTGGGGTCTCAGACATTTGCTGGTGTCGGTGAAGACTGATTTAGTGGGAAATGGGGTTGCTCGTGCTGTTTCTGTAGGAGACTTGACTTTTGTAGGAAGAGATGCATCCCTCTCGATGAGATAGATAATCGAGGACGGTCCGCTTTCTCTACTTTTGTGTTATGTTCTTCATTTTACACCTGATGCTGATTTCCCCCCTCTTCTTTCCCTTCTGACTCTTTTTAGATGGTTTCATCCACTGTACCTAGAGACATTTCATTTGCTCTAAAAAGCTAAAAAGCCATAGGACCATGAGCTATGCCTATAGTTTTGTCTCTTCCCCAAGTGTGTGTAGGATGGGGAAACCAACCAATGATACGTTCTGTAGGTTATTGGAATGATTTTCTTGTGCCCACACTTTTAGATGTCGAGTTGACTTCTGTTTTGCAGTTAGTTGCAATTACTTCTGTATAGCACTTGGCTTTTTTGTTTATTTAGCATACATAAAGTTTGACCTCTTTTAGGTCAGGTAATCTGACCTTTAGTAATTACCATTTATTTGCCCCACCTCAGAGTCGCTCTCAACAAACAAACTGATACTATATCCACAGAATTGGAAAACAGTCTTTGAAAAATACTTCAACTCTTTCATCCTTCCTAGGTCTGTTTGCTGTGCTTTCAGCTTCCTCACTAGCTTTTTGTGCTTTTTGAGATGATCATTGACTCTGAGTCCACATGTTAGTTGAGAAGATGAAAATATTTTGAGTAACTTTATGGTTAAGCTTGCTTCATTTTTCCTTAGAAGAATCTCTGGGTCCTTTAATGTCACTTTACACTTTTTTGTCATTTCTTTTTAAATTTAAATTACTGTACTTGTTTCCACCATCCTCTTGTACCCTCTTTCACCCCACCCTCACCCCCTGCTGTACTTTTATCACCCTGGACTTATTCTTTTCCAGCACTCCTACATTTGCCAGTAGAACCCAAGCAGAGTGGTCACAGTTGAGGCTCAAACATAGAAAAGCCTGAGAGAGGAATGTAATAATGTTTAGGATGAGCAGGGAAAAATACAGGTTCCTCGGAGCAGAGCAAGTTTTTCCTTATATCAGATTCACATGGAGTACCATGTGGGTGGTATTGAGTAATGTGGTAAGCAGTGTCCCCTGTCACAGTTTTGAATCATAGCAGCTGTGAAGTTCATAGGATTCTCTCTGATAGCTAAGTGAAAATGCAAGTTTAGAAATTCAGTTACTGGCCATTTCTGTGGTCCAAATACTATACCAGCTTGCAGGTTGTTTTTTTTTTTTCCCCCAAACTCATGGATGAAACTTACAACACCTGTAGAGTGAATCCCGCAATCATTCCCTGGCAGTCTTTTTAACCCTCCTTCGATAGGTCCTTGATTGCATGTCTCCTAAATATATAATCATAGATAAACCAATAAGCCCTGGAAACCAGCTAGACAGGTGGTAGGATTACAACTTGTTCTGAGAACTCAGCAGTCCCAACCAGTGTCAGCACCTGAATAGAGAGAGTGATCTGTCTCAAGGATTCACTTCGGAAAAGTGCTGTATTGCTTCGACTTGTATACTTGGCATTTCTTTTCAGACTTATACAATGAAGTGTGACTTGTGTCCATTATTGAGTTGATTTCTTGCTATTTGGATTTTTGGTTTTGTACTAGGAATGTTTTATTTCTGTTGTGCCTATTTGCTGGGGGAGGATTTTCATGAAAAACGAGTCACTGAGTAAAAAGCATTTATTCCACAGGTGGCAAACACAAGGCCTACGGGCCGAATTCAGCCCTCCACCTTGTTTGATCCCGCCCGGCACCTTGTTTCTACCTGGTGGCAGTGCTGAGCTCTCGCTTAACTGTTAAGGAGTAGTTACATTTATACAGTCCTAAAGTTACACTCCGCCCTTTGAAAGCAGCCTCGAGGCTGATGTGGCCCCTGGTGAAAATGAGTTTGACACCCCTGATTTATTCACTGCAGAGTCAGGGGAAAAACCATACATAAAATGAGTTAAATTTACTTAAATAAATATAAGCTAAAGATTTTTAGAAAGTTAAATATTGTATCAAACATAGAAAAGACATCCGGATTAAAGTTATTAGCTTGTAATTTGTATTATGCTTTCGATATATGCTGTAAGATTACAAACTTAGGATGCTTTTGAACTGTAGGTATTTTGGTATTAATTTTTTTTCATTTTTAGATTGTTATTGTAGTTTTATCTGGAGGTAGGGTACATGTATATGCTTTTGGTTAAAGTTTTTCTCCCATAGATTCTTCTATTAGAGTAGGGTATACGATCCAGGAGAACAGGCACTACTATCCCTTATTTTCACCCAAGTGCTGTATTCCCAGGGTTTGGTGCAGCAGGTGACACATGGAAGGTGCTTAGTAAATACCTGGTAAATGAATGAAATGGTGTATAAGGAGCCTATTTTGTGAAAATCATGATGATTGGACTTTGAGAACAGAAGATAAATAAAACACAGTTTCTACTTTAAGGACTGTAAGTACTCACAGTGGTACACACATGAGCAATTATTAAGAAGATAAATCAGTTCAAGGTTGAGACTAAATGAGTGATATAGATGCTCAGCAGGTAAGAGTTCTAAGCCTTTACTTACTGAATGTTTTGAGTGGAACTCTTTGATGTTCTTTAAAGATAGAAATTGTCATGTTCAGAGCTGCATCCTGAGTGCCTACAATAGTGCCTGCCAGATTGCTCAATAAATATATTTTGAATGAATGGAAAGTATGCCTCATTTTAAACTATTTTCATATTGACAACCTTCACTTTATTTGTAGCTTTTTGCCTGTCTGCCCACTTGGTAGTGGCTTAGTAAGAAAGAGAGGAGTTAAACTAAGGTTTGTTTAGC